TAAAGTTTGCCGCACATTTCGTTTTTATTTCCATTGTTAAAAAAAACACCCAAAAATCCTTAAATATTCCAAGTCCAACAATAGTCAAATACTGTATTCCAGTATCTTACTCATTAAGGAATACATTTATGTAGGGAGGCCCTTTCCCAGGTTTTTGTACACAATTGTTTATTGATTACACAACTGTTTATTGGTTAAATACTAGTTTGAACAACCAAAATATAAAAAAAGACACTGCCCGCCCGCACTATATTTTCAAAAACAACTGCCTGAGAACCAATTCTTTTTTTTTTTTTTAACCTTATTCAGATTTCCTATCTTCTGAATCAGGAATGAATGTCTGGGATTGATGGTCATGCGCGACAAAATTATGAATTAACATTTTCTCAACTTGCTTGCACACAGCAGTACCGTAAAGCTCACCACTGTTGACAATCTGACAGGGCCATGGGCAATGATGAGCTCTACCCATTTTTCTATCAGAGCAAATCCAACAGCCTGTGGAAGATGCCTACAATCACCACATCTAATCTAGCAGAGGAATAAAGATGTCATTGAATAATTTCCACTCTCTATACTTACAGAAAAGATGAAAACCCTTCCAGAAAGCTGGAAGACCATTTTATCGAGGTATGTGATTTGTGTAATGTTTTATTTATACAAGTCTTTGACATATATGATAGAAAAAATATATGTATATATATAATGCATGACTTTCTTAACAAAGACGCCTGTGAAGATCCCGGGGTAGAATAGATCTTCAGCAGCCCATGCTTGTGGTAATACACATAAATCATAGTCATAGGACCCGTGAAGATCCGAGGTTGAATAGGTCTTCAGCGACCAATGCTTGTCGTAAGAGGCGACTAACAGGAGTGGGTGGTCAGACTCGCTGACTTGGTTGATGCATGTAATCGATCCCAATAGCGTGGATCGATGCTCATGATATTAATCACTGGATTGTCTGGTCCAGACTCGACAGACCGCCGTCATATAGCTGGAATATTGTTTAGTGCGGCGTTAAACAACAAACCAAACCAAAACTAAAAAATCTAAACAAAGACCATAATCCACTGAAAAATTGGGACTTGGAACCATGTAGGATCATATGAGCAAAGGGAGACAACTCAGCAGCACATATAATCCAAGTAAAAGTGTAACCATACGGTTAGGTCGTGATACTATGGGTGCTATGCGATCTGTATCCTGATACATTATTTTTATTTCACAAGCTGATATTCCTTCTTTTTGCAGGTGAATCACAACCCTGAATCATTTACTATTAAATTTCAGAGATCAAAGTTGGGATATTGTTGGGCAGAAACCTATTGGTAGAGGGCACTGTGAATATTAGCTATTTATGTCCAATCGGTAATACTAGAGAACCTGCATAAGCTGGTTGAACAGTTTCTGTTATCATTCACATGTTTTCACAGCATCAAAACTTGTAATGAAATGTATCGTATACCATGCATGCGATACAGGGGTCATAAATCGATGTATTGTATCACTGTATCATTACTCCACCAGTAACCTACCCGTGAAGATTCCGGGGTAGAATAGGTCTTCAGCAACCCATGCTTGCCGTAAAAAGCAACTATGCTTGTCGTTAAAGGCGACTAACGGGATCGGGTGGTCAGACTTGCTGACTTGGTTGATGCATGTCATCGATCCCAATTGCGTGGATCGATGCTCATGATATTAATCACTGGATTGTCTGGTCCAGATTCGATTATTTACAGACCTCCATCATATAGCTGGAATATTGCTGAGTGCGGCGTTAAACAACAAACCAACTAACCAACCACTAGTAACCAAGTTGATTCATTTCTTGATGCTTAGATTAAGGTCTTATTTCAGTAGAATACCAGAATCCTGCACCCTGTTTATAGTCTCATCTTATTTAAGTCTTGTTTGGTGTCATTCAATAAGGCCTCATTTCATTTCAGTTGTGCAAGTGCCTGTCTGAAGCGCTACTCGACTAGTCTTGAAGAGAATGAAAAAACAGCACCATCCTCGTTACCCACAATACACCGATTTGCCTTCCTGACAAGCCATGGCCAGATGAAACTTGTCCAGAAAATAACTGAATGTTGTACATAATGTAGAATAAAATGATCTTATGTAGATATTCTGTGTCTGTGGATTTACATTTCTCAGGCCCGTGAAGATCTGGGGTAGATCTTCAGCAACACATACTTGCCGTAAAAAGAGACTACCGGGTAAGCTTGACAAAAGAGGCGACCAACGGGATTGGTTGGTCAAGCTTGCGGACTTGTTTAATGTGCATCATCAATCCCGATTGTGTGGATCGATGCACATGATACCAGTCACTGGATCGTCTGGTCCAGACTCGATTATTTACAGTGAGTGAGTGAGTGAGTGAGTGAGTCGGGTACCACTATTTGCTGTGGTCAATCCAGCCTAGACATTGGTGGATTCTAACCCTTTTTACTCCAACTTAACATTTTGAGGAAATTGGATGTTTCTCCCCCCTCAACATGAACTTTGTGACATTTCAGAGTTTAGTTTCCCATTTTTGTCATGCATGCTTGTTTTGACCTACTTTATCATAACTTTCCACCCACCCCTCCAACTGACTTTTTTTTAACAAAGTGTTGAAAATCGTTAGTAGGGTTTTTAATAGATCAAGTCTGCAACTCTATATTACAGTCTGTCATAAAGACCCTGAAGCAAATATATCAAAAACAGCCATGTCTATAACAGTGGGCAAGTCTAGATTGCAGCAGTTTCAGGGTCTGTACAAATCGGCTGAATTCGTGAGGACAGAGCTTGTAATTATCATCAAGTCTCTCGAGTTCATCAGTGAACCAAGACCTCCCTATCCTGCCCTGCCCTCACTATGGCCTAACAAGGTGTGATTAATTGGAGACCTGGTGTGACATACACTATCTTTGCCCTTTCTTTACACTTGTTTCATTGTTATTCATTCTGCCGAGTTGAGGGAAGGATTCTAAAAGTTTGCATTTCTGATGTAAAAATGAATAGGAACATAGACGAGCTAAAGTGTTTCAATACAGATGAAATCATTCGTCCAAAACCAAAGGCATCATTGAAAGTTGCTCTCCAACCACTCACTCCAGCCGGTAGTGGAAAACCATTAACATTAGAGCTTGCTCCCTATTCCTACAGGGCAGTAGAGAGAGTGAGTGAGTATGGTTTTACGCCGCTTTTAGCAATATTCCAGCAATATCACGGTGGGGGACACCAGAAATGGGCTTCACACATTGTACCCATGTCGGGAATCGAACCCGGGTCTTCGGCGTGACGAGCGAACGCTTTATCCAACAGGCTACCCGACCGCCCACAATGCAGTAGAGAATACAAGCCATGCCGATGTCATTGTTGTGTCACCCTTGATCGCACCTATGAAGAAACAAACTGAGAATTGTTTGTCATTAGGACTCAAAGCTGTGAACCTGAATGATGTCAAACGGGAAGAAATATTGACAAATGGTGAGAGTCTGGTATCTACAATACAGGAAATGACTGTCGATGACATAAAATATTTAGAAGTTGACATAGTTAAAGATAAGATTTATGGATGAACAACTTCTTTATAACAATTAGGAGTGACGTTTTGGTGTAGGTTCTAACACTGTTCTCCAACTTCTAAATGCCTCTCCAAGAAGTTGGATGTAATATTCACCAGTCCAGAATCTATTCTTGGACATCAGAACTTTGTGACTGTTTGTTGTTTAGTGTTGCACTAAGCAATATTCCAGCTATATGACGGCAATCTGAGTAATTGAGTATGGACCAGACAATCCATTGATTAATATCATGAACGTCGATCCATGCAATTGGGATACTATAACATGCATCAACCAAATCATCGGGCCTGACCACCCGATTCCGTTAGTCACCTCTTACGACAAGCATGGGTTGCTGAAGACCTATTCTACCCTGGTCTACTAAAAATAGGCGGGTTTTGTTTCGTTACAATAATGCAAAAACATTGAGAAAGCAGGTAAGTTGATTTGTCAGTTGAAAACTTGCAGGGCCATTAACTCCCACATCCCTAAACTTAAGGAATTTTTTATCTGACATCAAACTTTGTAACTGGTCCATGAGTTTCGTCAAATGTCTACCATACTTATGTTATAAGTATACAAGCTTCCTTAACCATGTTGACACCGAACTTGAAGAGTGACCCTGGTCTTCAACGTCATCTTGTCACATGCACAAATACTTGAAGGGTAGGGGTTACCTACAGTACTCAAAAGTTTCTGAATGCATGTTGAAACTGCAAGCAATTTCATGAGTGAGTTGGGTTTAACGCTGCTTTTAACAGTATTCCAGTTATATCGCGGCGTGTCAGCTTAATGTGGGAGGAAAGCCCGAAGTGATGCAGGTCTCAGATGTTTACCACTTCCGTGAAACCCACGAGCATGGGTATGGTGCTGACAAACCTAGAAACATTATTGGGGCGAACCCGGGATTCAAACCCACAACCATAGGTTTCTGGCGTGCCCAAGGGACAACTCTGCACAGCGAATCGCGGCGCCTTAGACAACTGGGGCACCCGTGCCCCCAATTTCAAGAGTGAAAAGGTCTAATAAATCTGACACAATCAAGACATGGCTTCTAAAATTTTATAGTGTGCTTGACATCCAGAACAGGAATTTACAGCTGTGAGGTAATAGAGGTAGGGAATTCGAAGGAATTGTAATGCATTTAATGCCAAAAGATTTAAAGAACTTGCACAACATGGTCGCTGATAGGAGACAATTTAAGAGTGAAGGACAGGCGTTAACTATCACGGCCATATAAAACTGTCCGTAACCATGGTAATAGTTAATCACAGAGGCTAGACGAACAAGAGTTGTTAACAGTGTGAGCAACAGTTAACTCCACCAAGGTACAATGACAGCCAGGTCACGACCAACACGCTCTCATCCCAATCAAAAATATACAGCTCTCTTGTAACAGAAGTGTAATGGGATGTGGAAGTATCAGCTGCATAACAGGACAAAACCTTTTTGCATGACATTTATTCCAATCAACAATTTTGTAAAATTCTATTTAAAAATTTTAAGTTGTGTTAGTGGACATAATTCCTTCCAACGTGTGACCAGTCTCTTCCACTGCTGGACACACATTATTCACAACGCCATCAAGGAATCACTCATACTTTAAACATGCACAAGTAATTAAAACACAAATTATTTCAAGTTTTATTCAGATGTGTAATAAATTATCACTTGTGAAAGTGCATGGGATCTTTAAAAGCAGGGAATATTTACAATAAACAGCACTGAACACCTTCGACCATCCAGCGAATACACGTTTTAAATGCCATGAATGTTACAAAAAATGTGATGTGAAGGTTTTCACGAGTAATACTTGAGACTTGTCCATCCTATCTGGATCACTGGGCTGTGCCAAGGTGGCTTTGAGGGTCACTAAAATGCTGGATTAAAATACCCTTTCATCCATTGCAGGAACTGATCACTCAGTCCGAGCTCCTACAATGAAAATTGTCTGGACCAGAAATTGCTGTGGTTTCAACCACATGATAAAAATCTCCGCTCTAAAATCACTGTCCTCATCAATCAGTCTTTCTTCTGTCTTTGTTTCACTTTCTTCTTTTGAGGCATCTGCTCCTGCCTATTCCACGGTCAAATCACCTAATTTTTCTGTCAAAGTCTCTGCTTCACTTTCCTTAGATTTTTCTTGTGAATCTTCTGCAGACTTCTCTTCTGAAGACTTCTCTTCTAAAGACTTCTCTTCTGAAGACTTCTCTTCTGAAGACTTCTCTTCTGAAGACTTCTCTTCTAAAGGCTTCTCTTCTGAAACACCATCTGCAAAAAGATCAAAATAACATTTCAAGAACTACAAGGTGATTCCAGGGGATATATAATTTGTTTATTGACATGCTGTTTAATGCAGCACTCAACAATATGACAGTGGCCAGTAAATAATCGAGTCTGGACTAGACAATCCAGTTAGGGACTTCATGAGCATCGATCCACACAACTGGGATACGTTGACATGCACTAACTAAGTCAACAAGACTGATTATCCGATCACATCAGTCACCTCTTATGACAAGTATGGTTGCTGAAGAACAATTCTGACCCCTATCTTCATGCTGCCTGCATTGTGCAAGTGTGCAAGGGATTTCAGCCAGCAATATTACTTCTGAATCACAGTATCTAGCCAAGAATCAGGTCTGAATCAAATCAGGATATTTTGAGAATTGAGAATGTCTCTCAGGAAAGTGGATTTTGCGCCATATAAATAGCCTTAGTAGTAGTAGTAGTAGTAGTAGTAGTAGTAGTAGTAGTACAGGAAAGCTCTCTTTAACTTACTTTGTGCTTTTTTAACTGTTTCCTCCACTGACTTCTGTGATTCTTCAAATTTCTCCTTGAACTTCTGAGCATCTGCAAAGTTATCAAAACAATCATGATATGCATTAGTGAGCTGCTTTTAACAATGTTCCAGCAATATCATAGCGGTGGACACCAGAAATGGGCTACGCACAGTGTACCCATGTCGAGTCTTCGGGGTGAAGAGCGAATGCTTTAACCACTAGGCTACCCGACTGCCCCATTATGATATGCACAATAGGGTATTGTTTCCAACAGCAAGTATCAGACATTTCAACAATGATGATAAAAACCATAAAAACAAAGTTTCTTTGATTGATGATTTACAAAGTTACTCGGCATAATACTAAGCGTGGAATTTCAAGCCATGGATTGGTTTGTTCCCATTCAGTGATACAATTTTGACTTAGTTATAAAACAACAACTAGATTGTGCGAAGCCCACGGTCGCACCATCGGATTATACTTCCATTAAAATCAAGTCAAACAGAAAATTATTTCAAATCTGTTTTATCTATTAAATCAGCAGCCAAAGACATTGAAAACATGCAGCTTTTTCAAATATTGTGCAGTTCTGGAACGATCACTGTTCAGAAATTGAGTGTTGTGTACTTCTTTCTGTTTCATGCATACACTTACTTTCGGCGTTTGCGAATCTAATAGCTAGTAATTCGGCTTTGGACTCCTCATCTGCAAAATCTGCTGGTGTTGACCACACCCACGCCCGATCACTCCCACAGTTTGGTTTCAGTTCCATGTGAGGTGAAACTGAAACAATCACAGTATTAAATAATAGGGCCGTGAACCGTTGTACAATCATAATTTATACAGGATACACACACTCATAACACCATCATGCCTCATGATGGCATGTGGTCCTATGCACAGCGCATAGGTTACAAATCAGGTTAAGTAACGTCGGTTGCAGAGAATAGGTGGATGGCTGACCTCGTTTTGCAGCTTGACTCTGACTCCTGAGAGTTTCTAGGGCTTTGGTCCTGCCCCACACTGAAGTAAGTACATGTAGCACATGTGGTGTCCCCTTAGGCAAATGACCTTCTTCAAAATATGCCTCTGTTCACCAAGCAGTGAATATGGGTACCCGGTAGGATGTGCTAGTAAAGTGAATTAACAGTATAGCAGCTGACAAGACAGCTTGGGTTGTATACTCCCCAGGGAGCGGAGAATGAAAACTGAGTGCACACTGATCCACTGACCGTGGTACTAATTTGAGCATGCACCGAGTGAATAGAGGCTAGCACAATGCAAGTACATACAACATTAACATTATTATCATGAAGGAATAATTTCACTCACTATAATGATTTGCACATATCTTCAGTGTTTTGTCTCTCCTCATCAGTATTCGTATCAAATGTGTGCCTTTGTGTTTCAGGATTTTAACCTCCCCTGTGCCCCGCTCCTTCCATTCGGCAGGCTCAGATGTATTGTCAAAGCGGAAAAGTTTTGCTCGTCTGTAAAATATAGTGTGAAATTAGAAACATCTCTAAAGAAATTTTTATAAATTGATGCAAAGTTGTCAAGGAAGCATTACATTTATACCCGTCCAATTTAAAAAGTACAAAATCTGGGATTTACCTGGCTTATATATTGATGGGAGTCCCTTGGACTCAAATCCTTTAATTGTAGAGGTCCAAGATTACAAGATAGGGGTCCCAGGGAATGTAAAAAGTATGAGACAATTTTTTCTGTGCCCGTTGGATTTAGCAAATTTAAGTTTTCAGAAATTGAGCGCAATAATGTAAACATGTGAACAGTCAAGGTTAACTTGCTCAGCATACTCATCAATCCTTACAATTTCAATATTTCTTCTTCTTCCTCTTCTAATGTCTTTATTTCCACAGGATTAAGGGTCACAACGGGTTCAAAGTGAAGTTCTGGCGACTCTGGAGCATCATCCTAGAAAACATTTCCAAATTTGTCAAATTGAAATACAAGCAGAACAATCCAACAATAACGGTTTTGTTGTCAACTGTATTCATTGCACAAGTAATCAGGAATAGACAATAGCTGTACTGTGTACATATACGTCCGCCAGTTTTTCCACGGCAAAAGAGCAAGTACAACATGTGGCAAGGTGGCACCCCAACCATTTGTCTATATTCCTTCTCCAATCATAATCTTCATGTTGATCTAGCATCTATTACCGGGATCTTGTATTTACAGGTGAAATAAGATTCCTTAGTAACACTTTCTAAGATGTTTACATACAATTATTAGCCATAACACTAAAGTAACTGGGGACTTTGAGGCATTCTACCATACAAAGGCTTGACTAAGTTCAGGACAGAGCGATTAACATTTCATGCAATTAGTATGCATCTTAAAATGTGATCTGTGTTATAAAAAAATGCTAAGCAGAAAGCACTATTAGGTTGAGGGGAGCTGTCAAAGAAGCTTGTTTATTTGCAAATGACACTTCCCAGTTATCCATCATCAGAAAATTAACGCAAATCATTAAATTTCAAACTAACTGTAACACATAAGTTACCTTTTCGTCTGCCATAATGGAACGTAATGCAACTGATTGACTTGGATTTCTCTGTTGATGCCTACTGTCAAATCAATCCTGCAAATATAGTCGACTTCCCGCTGAATTCAGATCGAGGCTGTTACCTTACTCCTTATATTCTTCCGGTTTTATAAGTTATGTTTTTCGGATTTATACGTGCTATTTCATTAAATATTATTTGTTTTTGACATATATAATACATCATTACCCGCAATGTGGGCGACCTCTTTCCAAAGCAACTCCTATTATTGAAAAAAATAAATATTTTTACCATGTTCTTAAAAATAATGATCCAAAATGGCGGCGCCTATGCACCACGGGGTGAGTTACCTTTCCCGGCTGAGGGGAGTTTTTCAAACAGATTTGTTTTTCAAACCGTTACCTGGTTAATCGAGTGTCACTGCGTCACCACATCTGATAATCGTTGTCAAGTGTCTCCATACTGTAATCAACTGGTTTTCCTGACCAAGACACGATTATTTCCCAAGATAAGGCGTAAAACAACATTCACCCCATTACCAGATTACACATGACAAATGAAACTAACTTTCAGTGGAATAGGGTAAGACTTCCCTCCGTTAACCCCTCAAAAATATATATAACTAACAGGACTGAGCGGCAATGCATACATAAACAACTTTTGGAGGGGGATACGGGCGGAAGGCTTTCCTCTATTTTATCTCAGGCTGATGCGATTAAAGAATCTGTTTGCAACCCAATAGTTTGATAAAAACTAGATATATCTCAAGAAAAAATTACAAGTTTCTCAAATAAATATTTATGTGTGCTTTTTTTATCCTTAAGGTTATTTGTGTTAGGGTTGGTTGAGGTTATCCCTATCTCTATCCTTAGCCTAAGTGCATTGAAATAAAATAGTGGCGAACATATCCAATTGCTGCTCTGGACTCGTTGCTGTAGGCCTATATCACAGCTACTCGTAAGTATAAACGTTAACTGTGTTATGATAGTTTCTGGAATGCTTTGAACATGTTTGAGTGGAATTACCCCTACCTCCATTCGAAATTGGTTAGAAAAGAACCCATTTGTTTAGACGATGTCCCCTTACCCAACTCAGGTCGTATGCATACTGATTATGCATAATCCAAAACTTGGTGAAGAGAAAAATGGAATTGATCAATCCTAATTGATGTGTCGTAAAAGTTGAACAAAGAACATGAAACATTTTGCGTATGAAATACTTAATAGGTTAGTAAGCCTTTGCCAATACGATCCATTATTAATTAACTACCGCAATAATATAGCGTACCATGCAATGTTATTTTGCCTATGCTGTAATATCAAAATTCTTTTGCCTGGGAATTGGACAAGATAAAGCACTTTCAGCTGCTCTACATTTTTGCATTACAAAACCCAAAGGAAGCAAACAAACCCATTTGCTAATAGTGTAAATAATAACTAAATAGTATTTATAAGGCCAGTGAAACATAAATTAATTATGAGATTTTTATTCAAATTTATCAATTAAGGTGGAAGAGGCATTTTAACTTTGATGTTATTTTAAGCTGTTTGTGGTACATATATTAATCATGTAAATCAGATGGGGAATAATCCTTCAGAAAATTATCTAGATGCTGGGTATTCGCAGGGATAAACACTACTCAGACACCCATACAAAAATTCAGATACAGTCATGCCCCGCTTATACGGACTTCAGATATCTGGAAACCTCGGTTCCTGGACGATTTTCATTCAAAACGAAATAATTACTATATAAATTTACCCGTATATACGGAAATTCAGTTTCCGGAACCGGATGGTCATTTTCATACACAAAACACGTAAATGCACACAAAATTGTCTCACTTACCCGGACAATACACTTCCGCTGGTGGTAATCCTTTGATTCGTGAGAAGTCAATTAACCAAGTGACACTGAATTACGTTTGAGACGAGCTTGTTTATTGTACATGTAATTCCATTCGATAAATATGGTGTCTGTGGAGGTCAGAGGTCAAAGTTGTGACCTCAAACTGTGAGTATGGCCTGTCAACCAGCGAAACGTAAGCGACACGCAGTTGCAGCACGCGAAAAAAGGGAAATTTGTCTGTTTAAGGAAAAACATCCGTCAGCAAGTTTGGAAACCATCAGTAAGCATTATGGCACTGAATTTGGACATACCATAGGAAAATCGACAATTGGTGACATTTTAAGACAAACAGAAGTGGCTAAATCTCCCGGAAAATTCAAATGACTTATCACGATCCCGTGTAGCAAAACACCAGAAGCTGGAAGATGCATTATATCTTTGGTTGTGTGACATGACAAGTCGTCATGTGCCCGTTAATGATGAAATGCTGATAGAGAAAGCTCGGAATTATTGTTTAAAATTCAAACCTCAATATGTGGTAAAGTTCAAACTTCCATGACAGATTTTTTGAAACGTGTATGTCTTGAATAAAGATTGAATGGATGTATCTGTTTGCTCTGTCATCTGTCATGAATTGCATAATTGAAGGGAAGTAACTCTTCCAGTAAGAAGCTGGTTTCAGATATACGGAAATTCGTTTATACGGACGAATTGTGAAATGACGCAAGTGTCCGTATAAACGAGGCATGACTGTACCAACCTTATTTAGTACTTACTATTAGCATGTGATAAGACGAGGTTGTTAAGGCTAAATTAAGATGTTAACCTATCAAAGAATACTACTTAAAATTCACATTATCGTATTCGACGTAATACGCGCCCAGGGCGCTTTCAAAATTAGAAATAGGGGGCTCTCATTAGAATATAATTTTGGTGAGAAAAAAAACAGAGTTGAAAGATTGTAAATTTCATGGTTTATGCTGACAGCCTGAAATGATACAAAAGAAAAGTCTGTGCGTATTATACACGACAGATATATTTTCCAGAATTTAATTGCCCATAATTGAGGGTGCATATAACACATGAGTGCATATTATACACAAATAAATAAGTCTTGTGTACATTGATCAATCGGAAGGGGTGATATTTGGGATTGTTCACTAGCCAATATACTAGCAAAATATCACTGTGGGCACTTATTAGAGCGGAGCGCTTATTATGTCAAATACGGTAATAGGTGGATATCTCAGGGACATGTTTGACATGAAGTTTTCCTGCAGATGAATTCATCTAAGCAGAAGCTAACATTTTCATCTGCTTTTTAAATCTGTTTCAGATTTTCACATCAAGTTGCTGAACACATCATATCAGAGTATAAAGACGTACCTAATTTCTATCTACTGGAATTGCAGTTTTGAATAACTGAGAAGCATCATAAGATGGCGTCTCCTAGCACGGATATAATACAGCCTTGTCCAGACACCAGCATCATCTCTGATCCCCTGTGTGGTACTGAGAACACTGATGCAGTGGACATGACGAGGGATGATAAAGTAGATATTAAGCAACAAACAGGTGATAGCTCTTCAAACTTCCCTAAGGATGGAGAATCTGTTGCCATGGAGACTACAAATCCCTACAGCTACACACAGAGAAAGGAGTTTACGTCAGAGATCTACAAAGTTGAAATTGAAAATCTTCCAAGAAATTATGGATTTGCTGTAAGTCGAACATGATGATGATGATGATTATGATCATAATTATTTATACATGTTATAAGAGGTGAATTATTTGTTCAAACTATCGATATGCTACATTGCCTTACCTAATAACAAACCCGTGAAGATCTGGGGTAGAACAGAGGCGTGTTCAGGAGGGCGGGCGCTCGCAATATTACGCAAGTGCGTGCTGTTGAACACGGCAAACCGCGCAAGCGCACGCGTGTACTCGTGATCGAGTCCGAGAGGTAGTTCGCCTCGTAATCCAAGATGGCTTCGCACATTGAACAAATGTTTGCCTTTGACGAGAATGGAATGGATGTCAAAAGAATAATCTTTTAGACTAGATCTACCATCAAAAAGTTATTTTTGCATTTTCAATATATTGACCCGTGATGATCAGGGAAGACAATAGGTCTTCCGCAACCCATATGTTTACCGTAAGGATCGAGTAATAAGACTCTCTGACTCGGGTGATGCATGTCATCGTATCCCCATTGCACAGACCGATGCTCATGTCCATTGCTGGATTGTCTGGTCCAGCACAGGGACATGTAACTAATAATAAAAATAAACACTTTGTTATCATGAACATCAAAGTATGAACCCATCAAACTTGTGATGAAATTAAATGTGTGAACCTATGACACTTGTGGACAGGGCTGTTTTGATCCCCGGCGACGCCCTTTTGGATGCTGTGCCGCGAGAGCAAGTACGCGCCTCCCGTTCAGAAAGGCGTGATATTGTCTCACTGTACTCTCGCGCGGTTGCTCGCCCTCCTGAACATACCTCAGGTCTTCAGCAGCCCATGCTTGCCGTAAAAGGCGACAATACCAATACAATATAACAATACCCAGAAGAAAGTTCCGAAAATCAATATTGGACAGTGATACAGGAGACGCTCTTTACTACAGCACACTGGGAATGTCCTGGTTGTAATAGGTCTTCAGCAACCCATGCTTGCCAAACAGCTTGTCGTAAGAGGCGACTAACGGGATCGGGTGGTAAGGATCGCTGACTTGGTTGATGCATGTCATCGATCCCAATTCCTTAGATAGATTCTCATGATATCAATCACTGGATTGTCTGGTCCAGACTCGATTATTTACAGACTGCTGTCATGTAGCTGGAATATTGCTGAGTGCGGCGTTAAACAACAAATCAACAAACACAGAGCTTGATATAGGCAACTTGATTCCAGGTCCCAAAGTTGAAACATAGATGCATAAACTCGTATAAATAGGTAAAATCTCATAACAACTCCCAAATTGGAAGACGAGTCGGCTAGTAGCTGCATATTACAACAGTTGCAGAGAAGACCACAGTGCTACCTCATGTGATTTTCGATCGTGAACGTTGATACAACTCAATCTCGTTAATCTGACACAGTGATCAGCATGTTTTGACATGTGTGTTTAATGCAAGACAAGTTGGCTTGTAGCTGCATATTACAATAGTTGCAGAGATAACCACAATTCAAACTTGTTTATCCGACTTACTTGTCAATCCGACATAATCATATGCAACCAACCATGTCGGATTAACGTGACTTGATTGTATCGGTCATTTATGTCAGTTCTTGTAATTATTCTCCAATATTTGCTCTTGTTTCAGCAACTGAAGAAGAGGTTGTCCACGGCACTCAAGCTGAATCCACACAAAATCAAGGCGATGCCAAAGACAAACTTTGCCTTTGTTACATTTAAGTAAGTTACTTCCAGATGTGTGATTTTCACTGAAGATATTATCAATCAATTTGATTCGTATCTAAGTTTGAGTACCATATTTCTAGATATAATCCTCAGCTGATACTGTTGTTGCCTCAGCTCTCTAAGTTTTTTTAGTTTTTTGTTAGGAGCCAAGCAGCACCTAACGTGAATATTTAAGGAGCCAAACCTATCTTAAACAGATATTGTCGCCAGTTTTGTTTGCTTTTAGGTATGTGGTGAGCAGTAGATAAATTTAGGTCGCCATTCATAGATGTTAGTTGCATTTTGCCACCACTACTTCGAGGGCTGAGCGGACACTGTTCTGGGCAGTTTCATTGTTTTGGTAGAATTGGTCTTCAGCAACCCATGCTTGTCACAAAAAGGCGACTATGTTTGTCGTAGGAGGCGACTAACGGGATCGGGTGGTCAGGCTCGCCGACTTGGTTGATGCATGTCATCGTATCCCAATTGCGTGGATTGATGCTCATGATGTCAATCACTGGATTGTCTGGTCCAGACTCGATTATTTACAGACCGCCGTCATATAGCTGGAATATTGCTAAGTGCAGCATTAAACACCAAACATTGTTTTTACTTCTATCACATTCATGACAAACAAGTAACAGGAATATCAATGGACTCAGGCTGTAAAGCCCGAGAAAGCTGCTTTCTGATTGGCTGATGTCGACTTCTTGTTTGCCATTTCAGTGGTCGGTCAAAATTCGCGAAAGGTCATTCTGACGTGACCTGTAATGGGATGACCTCAGATCTTTATTTTGCAGCAGTGAGAACTCAGATCTGATTATAATGAGATTGGGATCTGCACAATGTCATTGTATCATGATCAGTCAGAAGGATCTGCTTTGTACAAAAACTAAGCCCTAGGTTTGCTGAGACATCTCTGGTTTTTTAACAATTTATGAAAAGGTCCCTTGGATAATGATTAGAAGATTATGAGTGAATGTATGATACTTAATGATTGTCCCATAGAAATGCAGAAGATCGGGATGCGGCCTTGACAGGGATAGAAGGTCATGTGTGGAAGGGCAAGGTCCTCCGTGTCAGGGTAAGTGATTGGTTCAGCTTTGGCATTTTTTGTTCGTTTGTTGTGTAACGCCGCACTCAGCAATATTCCAGCTGTATGACGGCAGTCTGTGAATAATCACAAATTTGGGTCAGACAGTTCAGTGATTGACATCATGAGCATCGATCCATGCAATTGATTCAGCAAGCCTGACCACCTGATCCTGTTAGTCGCCTCTGACGACAAGCATGGGTTGATGAAGAGCTATTCTAACCCGGAATCTTCACGGGACGGGATGGGATTTTTATACTAAGCAGGGATTCCAGTGACAACACTCAAATCACTTTGGCTTAAAAATATCTGACCCAAGTGAGAAAACTATCAAACTCACTATTCAGATTTGATTATTTACAGGCCATTGTCATATATTGCTGATCAGGCATTAACCAACAAACACTTTTCTTCTTCAGAAAGCCCAGCCAGCAGCTGATCCTCTCCTGAAGAAAAGGAAGTTGCAAGAAGGTCAGTTCAGCATCCTGTTTACACCCTGTTACTAAGGGCCCACACACAAGATTACTATACTATGTTTTAAACCCAGCATAAGTCTGGACTAGTACAACAAATATTGAAAACTCTCAACATCCCTTGGCTAATTCAACGACATTACATGTAGAGATGATAGATCAGTGAGAGGAGCTTGTGCACACTCGATGACCCCAGCAACCTTGTTGCTAGTCTGTTGTCACAGGGTGTTGTTTCGCCAGCGTGTCTTGCAACAAAATTTAACAAATTATGTCATAGGGTATTGTGACATGATTGTAAACTTTGTGGTGCAGGGTCCCTTTCCACAAGGGGATTGTAGCACAACGACAGTTGTAAGTCTATGTTTAAGCATTGGAGTTACTATGACCTTAACGCTACAATAGCTTTGTGGAACAGATGCCTGAATTCTAAAGGTAGGCCGTTGTATGGTATAACATTAATACGTGTCAGCTTTTGACGTGTTTGAAGTATTCTATTAAACTCATTTGGATTATGCTGTGGATCGCGTAGATGTATGCCTATTTACACACACCAGTGAATTTTTAAAAAAAGTTATAAACAGCAAGTAATAAGTAAAATATTAAACTTGCTTCCGTTTATGAAACTCGTGAATAGTTCCCTCGTCAGATACCATAACTGTCCACTCGTTTCATGAAATTGGTGTTACACAGGAGCTAGTTTAGTATTCTTTATTTATCAAGCCCTTGTCATGGCCTGCTATTCAGTGTACAGCTGGTGTTTCAGAGCAGCAGGGAGGCAAGAGGCCACGAGTGGAGGAGGAGGATGACACGCCCTCTAGTGTCAGGTAGGGACATGTCAATGCATTTGTCACTATGCTTGTCGTAAGAGGCGACTAACGGGATCGGGTGGTCAGGCACGCTGACTTGGTTTAAGCATGTCATCGATCCCAATTGCGTGGATCGATGCCCATGATATCAGTCATTGGATTGTCTGGTCCAGACTCAATTATTTACAGACTGCCATCATATAGCTGGAATATTGCTGAGTGCGGCGTTAAACAACAAATTAACCAACCAACCATGCACTTGTCCATACATTCAATACATGGACCCATTAGGATTCAGGGTGAACCATATCCCCCAGAAACCTCTGCTTGTCATAAGAGGCAACTTCTTGAATCTTTGGCCAATCTCGGTGACTTGGTTGATGCATGTCAGCATATCCCAATTGGATTGATGCTCATTGTGTCTATCATTAGATTTCGTTTTCTAGATTCTATAAGATTGCCGTATAACTGTAATTTTGCTTAGTTTGGCATTATGAAACTAACAAACAACAAAAACATGCAATGCAAGTTTGAAGATCACTTAGAGGGCATGGGTATCCCAGTTGTCCAAAGATCGCGATTTGCTGTGCGTCCTTTGGGCACGCCAGAAACCTATAATTGTGGGTTTGAATCCCAGTTCGCTCCGATCATGTTTCTAGGTTTGTCAGCACCATATCTGTGCTCTTGGGTTTCACCGAAGTGGTAAACGTCTGAGACCTGCATCACTTCGGGCTTTCCTACCACATTAAGCTGACACGCCTTGATATAACTGGAATACTGTTAAAAGCGGCGTTAAACCCAACTCACTCACTCACTCACTTGATGATCAGTTTGTAATTTCATACAGGTGATAGAAATTAGTTACATTTAGAGTAATGCACATGCCCTTTCTGTAAAAGTGTAACATGAGTACGACCAATCCAAATGATGGCAGTGTATTGTTTGCTTCCTTGCCTGAGATCGATGACACTTGACAGGCTTGCTGATTGGCTGTTCAGAGTGCCATTTGGCCGCATTGCGCAATATATTGTAACATTCATGGCAGGTCGTACTCGCTGCACAAAACGTATGGTTTCCGTTTGATATTGCTTAGCAACGGCAAATGCATTAAGCATGGTTGGAAATACATTTGCATTCTTAATTTGGGACAAAACACCATTTTTGGCCAATAATTTGGAAAAGTAAACTTTGTCTCCAGATAAGTGTTCGTTTTACTGTTTACTTGTCCTGAGACAAGTTCACAAATGTGATATTGTCCCATTCCTTGTATCAGCATTGGTGTCCCCCCACCCCCACCCCCCACCTCCATCCCCCACCTCCATCCCGCACCTCTTATGGAATAGTTTTCCCTGTCATGCTTTCATACAAACCTGACCGCCTCCATGGTCTATAGGTAGAGCGGCCGCCCGGAGAGTGGAAGGTATGGGGTTCCATCCCCGCCCGCCTCATACCAAAAGACGTTAAAAGATGGTACTTGTTGTTACCTTGTCTGGCGCTCGGCATTAAGGGGCTAAAACAAGGACTGGTCGGCTCGGAGTCAGTATACTGTGTCTGAGTGGGGTATTCATGTTAAACTGCGGTATGGTATGTCAGTGGGCTAGCACAATAAATGGGCAGCAGTCCGGACTAGTACAAGCAGCCACACGTCATGCATGTCGCTATATAAGTGCAATAATCTTGGACGTGACGATAAACCTGATTTCACCTCACCTCATACAAACCTGCTGAAAAGAGGATTGGATGGTCACAGTGTTTGACCTGCTTTGTGTCATCCTGCTCTGATGGCATGGATTGTTGCTCATGCATGACTTGAAGATAAGGGTCAGGTCTTTAATTACAAGGATGGAGTTTTTTTATGCAGTAACGTATTGAAAATAATGACCCTTCCCCCAATGCTAGTCATATTTTTGGATGACCCTGGCCATGTCCTTGTACATTTTTTGTCATGACGCTCCCTGAAAAGACAAAATACAAAAGCACTTTTTATTTTATAATAGAATGTTAATTTTTTACCATCCCAAATTATGTGTAATATTTTTTATGACCCTCCTTTAGGGTCACATTTTTTGGTGACCCTCCACTGATTCCCTCTGCCCACCCTGTAGTTGGTTTGTTGTTTTACGCCGCACTCCGCAATATTCCAGCTATATGACGGCGGTCTGTAAATAATCGAGTCTGGACCAGACAAGCCAGTGATTGATATCATGAGCATTGATCCATGCAATTGGGATCGATGACATGCATCAATCAAGTCAGCGAGCCTGACCACCCGATCCCGTTAGTCGCCTCTTATGACAAGCATAGTCGCCTTTTACGGCAAGCATGGGTTGCTGAAGACCTATTCTATCCTGGATCTTTACGGGACCGGTTTGAACATGGTTCCACTAGTCTGGTTAGTGAAAGTGGAGATTAATGAAAATAAGATTAACTTCTTACCCTGCAATGGTGTGCCTGCCAATCATTAGTTGCAGGCCATTGGCATAATTGACATTCAACAGTCCGTCTCTCATTTGCTGACATCTGTTGTAGACTCCTCAAGTGTGTTGCCCCCTACTGGGGAGTTCCTTATGAAGAACAGCTGAAGGTCAGTCAGAGCTTAGCGCCATTTCTTAAAAAATACGAGGATGTTATGGCTGTTAAATCTCATATATTCTTTGATCTTTGACAATACTTGTAGTATAACACATCCATAAGGCTAAAAAAAATAATAGACTTGGTTCTCGGGTGCCACCCGCATCATAAAGTCTGCCGCATGATTTGTTTTTATTTCCATTTTTTTTAAAATTATAAAAATCCTAATACTTAAACACAATGTACCAAAAAAATTTGAAACAGTAACGAAATGTGCAATGAACTTTATGATTATGTGGGCAGTGCCTGAGAACCAAGACTATTATTTTTTTTTAGCCTAATGTAACATTGGTATCTGTTTAAACTATTTTTCTTATGTGTGATGCTGTTTCACCATTCTCTTTCTGATTAAATCCTCCTTGGGGCACTTATTGCATTTTCCTTGCTCAAGAAAATCTACATGACATAGTTGTAACCATTTTCCTTAATAAAAAATGTTACCACACAAAAAACTTCGTTTTTGTATGATATACGACCACCCTTACGGGGCCTCACCCCCAACGGCGCCTCACGCCAGGGGGAGCAAGTCTCACCCAAATCACTTTCCTTATGTCATCTGTAAGAGACAGACGTGTTGATTTTTCACACAAGACAAAAATAAGAGAAATCTATCTTTCGACAAGAACCATGGCTGACCAAACTGTATGTATGGTACATTTCTTTCATTGCAAAGGCGTAATACCTCGCAATGTGAAGTTATAGAGTTGTAATAATACGCCACGTGCACGGTACCTTTGAATTCAAATGGCCGTTATGGCGTCCATATTGTAGTTCCACGGGCTGATACATGTAACACCAAGGCCATTAAGAAACGGCTTGGGGTTTTGTTATATCATACAGCATTGGTCTACAATTTTTTCCTTTACAAAACCCAAGGTGGTGTGTTAATTCATAAACTACACTTACCTTTTTTACGGGTTTTTACACCTTAGCGCGTAACACGCCCCTTTGGTGTTATAATTATACTACGACATTGGCTATTAGTATCGCGTTGCAAATCGCATTCTACATTACGCCTTTGCTTCTAGTTTCACAATTTATGCACGTATCTTTCCGATCTTTATATCGCACTGATACACGTTGATACCCTTCCCGCCTACCTCAGAAATTACGGTCTTGTTTACAAGACCTTCAAACTGTGTACGGGTTGTTCTAAGACAGGCGCGAACGCTGCCTAATATGTCTGGCGGAGGACATTGCCTTTACCCCCCGGGGCCCCCAAAAAGAGACAAGTTGACTTGTTCCACTTTAAAGAGGTCTATTAAAGGCAGGGGTAGATATCAGATCTACTAAGACATCCCCCCCACCCTCCCCATCTAAAAAGGGTAAAAAAGCTGCCGAGATTGTCTCCCCCGCTCCCTCTCCGGGGGCCGGGGGAGAAGGCTCGAGGGTCCCCGTAGTAAGCACTGCACCCTCTCCTGCACTGTCTTTGGCAGACTTTTCTGCGTTACTTAAGTGGCAGATGGCGTCGATGATGGAGGAGGTAAAGTCTCAGCTCCGAGAGGAGATGCGGACCGAGCCTTCCCCGTTGTCGGCGCCGGACGCGGCTTCGAGACCTTGTGATATGCCCGGCGTCGGCCGAGGCAGGCCACTTGGTCTCGGGGACGATCTCAGACCGGGCTTCGGCGCCGGCTCGAGGTCGCTCCCCAGCGGAGGGGTGGCGGGCGCCGGCCCGTGCACTACCGACGCACAATTTTTCCCTAGCGAAGCCAGACGCCTCTTCCGAGGCCGAGGCGTTCACTAGTGGATTCGTAGCCCGGAGCCAGGGGGGTTCCCTTGGTCTCGGGGACGATCCGAGACCGGGCTCCGGCTCCGGCTCCAGCTCGAAGTCGCTCCCCAGCGTAGTGGTGGCGGGCACCGGCCCGTGCACTACCGACGCACAATTTTCCCTAGCGGAGCCAGACGCTTCTTCCGAGGCCGAGGCTTCCACTAGTGGATACCTAGCCCGGAGCCAGGTCGGTTCCCTTTGTCTCGGGGACGATCCGAGACCGAGCTTCGGCTCTGGCTCGAGGTCACTCCCCAGCGGAGGGGTGGCGGGCGCCGGCCCGTGCACTACCGACGCACAATTTTCCCTAGCGGAGCCAGACGCCTCTTCCGAGGCCAAGGCTTTCACTAGTGGATACCTAGAGACACGTGCGGGACAAGATTGTCCAGGTACTGCCTCAGGTGGCTGCGCCCATGCCAGAGTCGGAGACACCCAGCTTGACTAAGGTCAAGCAGGGCCGGCGGTTGCCCCCCCTTTCCCGTGTGCGGTGCGGAGTTGAAGGCTGCTTACATATGCTTTGAGGAGCAATATCATAATGCATGCCAACAGCTCCGTGTGTCCGTACACTCCGCGTATCTGTCGGCTGTACAGAGGGAGTTAGCCGGAGAGGGGCCGTCCGACTCTTCGGAGTTGGCCTCGCAACTAACGGAAGTTCAGTTATCTTGCGCGGGACGCTATTCGTAGCTGTGCCTCGCAGATGATGTGCGCTGTTATGGGCATGCGCAGGCGGTGGATGTCGGTATCTAAATACTCGACTTACACACGCCAAGACCTACTTGCTTTGCCGTATAAGAGGGTGCCACCCTCTTCCCTGGGGCTCAGCAGGTGGTCCGGGAGGCTGCTCAATTGTATACTTCCATCAAAGACTCATAAGGCCTTGTTGGAGGTACCAAGCATTAAAACCGCGTAAGCGGGCCTCTCCAATTGTCCCCTCCTACGCTAACGCACGGGTCAGACGTCCACACCTGCTTGGAAGCCGCCGCTTCCTTCAGGTATAAGGGCGCCGGGAGGAGCAAGAGAGGCACGGGCCGGGGCAAGGCAGCTGGTCGAGGCCAACAGCTTTTTCGCGGGGCTGGGAACGATGGGTTCCCATTAGCGCCCGAAGAGCCCCGGGTCATCCCACAGTCGCAAGTTATCGAACTGCCAATTCCTGAAGGAATGGGAGACAGTTACATCACAATCCCCGGACCCCGTCCATTTTAAGGGATGGCCATTTGCCTCGGTGGAAAACTCATCCGCTCCTCCACTTTTCCGGGATAAAGCACACTCCGGTACCTGCTACCCGAGAGAAGGCGGAATTCCTCCGTGCCGAGGTCGACGCACTTCTTATGAAAGCTGCGATCAAACCTGGTCCCGAGGGACAGGAAAGCGAGGGCTTCTACTCGACTTGTTTCCTAGTCACCAAACAGTGATCTCAACTGTCGAGACAGGCGTATTTTAAGTCTATTGACGTTAGCCATTCTCCTATCTCCACATACCAATACACCCCGAGTTCAAGAAATACCTGAGGTTTTCTTTCGACGGGAGGTGTTATCAGTTCAGGGTTCTACCATTCGGGATCTCCACGGCCCCGAGGGTGTTCACCAAGCCCAAGTGGCCAGGTCAAAAGGTCGGTTCTGCCATCCGTACCTCGACGACTGGTTACTAAGAGCTCTATTGCAATCCCTGAGTCAGATAGCTACACAACAAGTGATAGATATTCTGATCACTCTAGGGTGGATGGTCAATCTCAAGAAGTCAGATCTGAGCCCCACTCAGAATCTAGTCTTCCTAGTGGCTAATTTCAACACGGTGAGAGGACGTGTATCTCTGTCACAAGATATCAAGTCCCTTAAGCGCAAGTCACACTGCTCGTACATGGCTCCAGTTACTGGACAACATGGCGGCGACAGTGGATTTGGTCTGGCGGGCGCGCTTGAGAATGAGTCCCATTCAACAAGCACTCCGTCGACTTTGGGCGAACTCGGAAGATCTCGAGACTGTGCTCGAGACTCCGTAGTGGCTCATTACACACCTCCAGTGGTGGACCGAGGTCGGGAATCACTCCCGTTCCATCTCTCACAGTTCAAACAGACGCGTCACTCTCCGGCTGGGGAGGCATTCTGAATGATCACACTGCCTCGGGACTATGGTCCCAGCAGGAGATCAAACTGCATACCAATGTGCTAGAACTGAGAGCGGTCAGGTTGGTGTTCCAACACTTCCTGGATCTGCTTCGTGGCCAAGTGGTTCGTCTAGAGATGGACAACCAAACGGCGATGACTTACATCGGGAAGCAGGGGGGAACGGCGTCTCCGTCGCTTCGACGAAAGACGTGGCAGTTCCTACTATAGTGCGACTCTCACGATATCAGGGTGCTACCTGTTTATCTCCCAGTGGTGGACAACGTCCGTGCGGACGCTCTGTCTTGCCGGATCCTCGCTCCTCACGAGTGGAGGCTCGACCCGGGGATATTCGGGATTTTCTCCCTGTTATACAGGTCGTTACAGGTGGATCTGTTTGCGTCTGGGTTGAATAACCAGACACCAACGTTCTGCTCCCGAGTCCACGACCCGAGGTCGGTGGCACCGGACGCCTTTCAGCTAGATTGGAAGGACAGTTCTGTGGGCATTCTCCCCAGTACCTCTGATTTCCAAGGTCCTGTCTCAGCTAGGCACTCAGCCTGCGCAACTAATTGTGCTCCTGGCACCTCTTTAGTCGGCGCATAGTGGGTTTCCAGTAATACTCAGGTTTCTGGCTCAGCCTCCTGTTATATTACCTTTACGACCGGACCTCCTATCCCAGAACGGGGCCCTCCACCCGAATCTCAGGATTCAATGGGTGGCTTGGCCACTGTCAGGAATCGCCTCCAGAAGAGCGGTATTCCTGCACGAGTTGCAGACACAATACTGGCTTCGCGGAGGGATTCTACAAACGTTCAGTACGATAGATAGGCCTGCTATGCGCCCTGGTGTGTCGATAGAGGGATTGCAGATCTTTTTTCTGCAGATCTCGTATCCGTGCTTGAGTTTCTCCAGTCGCGACTAGATGACGGCCTGGCCGCATCAACAGTCCGAGGGTACTCTACAGCTATCGCAGCTTTTCACGTCCCTGTCGACGGGGCACTTCTGGGTGCACACCCATTAGTGCAGCGCTTTGTAGCAGGTGTGGACAGGATCCGACCGCCAGTCCGGCGGATCAGTCCCCCTTGGGACTTGTCAATCATTCTCGATTGGCTGTCCGGTCCTTCCTTTCGGGATCTGTCGTCTCTCTCTCTTCAGCTGTTGAGCTGGGAGACGGCGTTCCTTGTGGTGGTAACGTCCGGCAGACGGGTAGGCGACATTCGTGTTATGTCAGCCGATCCCAAAATAACTGTCTTCTATGGGGTCGATAAATATCACCGGGACAGTCAGTTTTCGTCTACCGGACTATTACCGTCCTAGGGTCGCACACGATTCCACGTGAACGGCTCCTATTGAGCTACCTGCTCTTTCACAGCCTTCCTCGTCGGGGACCACTGCAAGACATGCTCATGTCTTGGATGTCCGCACGACTCTCAAGGCCTATATCAGCAGAAATATGGGTGTCCGTAAGGATAACCAACTATTTTGCTGTTACTGCGGTAGGAAGGTTGGCTCACCTGCGAGTAAACAATCTATCTCGAGGTGGATAGTTTCAACCATTTGTACAGCGTATACGCTTACAGGCAGGGACCCCCCTACCAGGTTGAAGGCTCATTAGGTTAGAGCAGTGGCTGCGTCAAAAGCGTACGCCGCGGCTCTGCCCATTGAGCAGATCTGCTCCGCGGCTATTTGGAGCCAGCCGAGCACGATTCATCAAACCTTACCAACTCGACAAACACTCAAGCGAGCGTACTCGGTTTGGCCAGTCAGTTCTCCGAACAGGGCAAAGTTCTAATCTCTAGCTGATTGAGCATTCGAGATTTTAGACAGTCTTCCGGTTATACTGCTCAGTAATGGTCCGGATTTTATCTTCTGCGGTCGATAAATATCAGTCCTTACTACTCGATAATATTCGTATTTTGCGCACGCACTCCTTCGATCCTCGGGGACCCTCTGGCCTAGCTCAGCGCTGGTTATGGTCTCTCGTGATCTACGCCCTTATATCACTTGTTAAAAAAAAAGTGGGGGGGGGGGGTGTGGGAGGTGTTTCGAGTTCTCAACTTATGACAAGCCGCAAAAACAGGCTTTATCATAATATATGGTCGACCACGCCCTGTCTCTAGCCCCCGCCTTTCGACGGTGGTGCCTCACGATAAGGTTGGTTCCATTTATTGAACTCAATATTTTATACTGTTGAATAATCAAATACGATGTATTTATTTACGCCTGTTGCTGACGGATGCCACTTCCTAGATTATCTTTGGGAGTCTGTCTTGATGCAATAAGTGCCCCAAGGAGGATTTAATCAGAAAGAGAATTTTACAAACCTGTAGAGGTTATGAATTCTCTGATGAAATCCTCCTTGGGGCACGGCCACCCACCTCCCCACATTCCGTCAGCATTTGACATATGGAAAGTGATTTGGGTGAGAGTTGCTCCCCCTGGCGTGAGGCGCCGTTGGGGGTGAGGCCCCGTAAGGGTGGTCGTATATCATACAAAAACGAAGTTTTTTGTGTGGTAACATTTTTTATTAAGGAAAATGGTTACAACTATGTCATGTAGATTTTCTTGAGCAAGGAAAATGCAATAAGTGCCCCAAGGAGGATTTCATCAGAGAATTCATAACCTCTACAGGTTTGTAAAAGTTTTGTACATAGTATATCCTAATACACATGCCTGTTGGAGGAGTAGTGTTGCTTGGCACAGTTGGTGCACTAGTTGAAATGAGGTTTGAATCAGATATACCTCATATATGATTCTTGGCCTGTCAGCGCCATGTGAACCAAAATGTGAAGCACGTTCTTGGCCTGTCTGCACCATGTGAACCAAAACGTGAAGCACGTTCTTGGCCTGTCTGCACCATGTGAACCAAAATGTGAAGCACGTTCTTGGCCTGTCAGTACCATGTGAACCAAAATGTGAAGCATGTTCTTGGCCTGTCTGCACCATGTGAACCAAAACGTGAAGCACATTCTTGGCCTGTCTGCGCCATGGGAAGCAAAATGTGAAGCACATTCTTGGCCTGTCAGTACCATGTGAACCAAAATGTGAAACACATTCTTGGTCTGTCTGCACATTCTTGGCCTGTCTGCACATTCTTGGCCTGTCAGTACCATGTGAACCAAAATGTGAAGCAAGTTCTTGGCCTGTCATCACCATGTGAACCAAAATGCGAAGCACATTCTTGATGCCCACCTGTGATTTCACTCAATATTTTAAGGTTTGACACTGTAGCATTGTACAAGATGAACGTTTGTCATAAAACCAAATGTTTGTATCTTTAGTGCAAATATTTCTTTTCGGACCTACCCGAATTTTGCATGTATATATGTAATCTATATATGGGTATATGTATTTAAGCTCCCTGCTATCAATATTGGACATGCGTCTTAGTGTAATGTCAATATGAAACCAATCAATACTCATGATAATGTTCCAGAGGAAGCAAGCAGATATTGTAGATGTCCTGAAGTGGATGGGCAAAAATGGAGAGCCTGGAGATTTCTTCAAAAAACAGAGGTAGTTCATGTACATCATATCAAGAATTCAGTATCTAGGCTGGGGAATAAATGCTCCACAGTACCCCTTGGTGCCAACATGCACTTGGGGCACAGGTGACCCAGTCGTCCTAGGCCCCACAATTCGCTGTGCAGAGTTGCGTCCTTTGGGCACATCAGACATCTATGATCGTGGGTTTGAATCCTGGTTTGCCATGATTCTAGGTTTGTCAGCACCACACACTCGCTAACTCACTCACTTCACGCCGAAGACCCGGGTTCGATTTCCCACATGGGTACAATGAGTGAAGCCCATTTCTGGTGTCCCCGCTGTGATATTGCTAAAAAAAGCGGTGTAAAACCACATTCACTCACTCACTCACATGAAATCTATTATGAACTGAGTGAGTTATCTCACTCACTCACTCACTCACTCACTCACTCACTCACTCACTCACATGAAATCTATTATAAAGTTATCTAAATCACTCACTCACTCACTCACTCACCCACTCATTCACTCACTCACCCACTCACTCACATGAAATCTATTATGAACTGAGTGAGTTATCTCACTCATTCACTCACTCACTCACTCACTCACTCACACACTCACATGAAATCTATTATAAAGTTATCTCACTCACTCACTCACTCACATGAAATCTACTATGAACTGAGTGAGTTATCTCACTCACTCACACACACTCACTCACATGAAATCTATTATAAAGTTATCTCACTCACTCACTCACTCACTCACATGAAATCTATTATGAACTGAGTGAGTTATCTCACTCACTCACTCACTCACTCACATGAAACCTATTATGAACTGAGAGTGATCTCACTCTCACTCACACACTCACTCACATGAAATCTATTATGAACTGAGAGTGATCTAACTCACTCACTCACTCACACACTCACTCATCCACATGAAATCTATTATAAAGTTATCTCACTCACTCACTCACTCACTCACTCACACACTCACATGAAACCTATTATGAACTGAGAGTGATCTCACTCTCACTCACACACTCACTCACATGAAATCTATTATGAACTGAGAGTGATCTAACTCACTCACTCACTCACTCACTCACTCACCCACTCACATGAAATCTATGAACTGAGTGAGTTATCTCACTCACTCACTCACTCACTCACGCACTCACATGAAACCTATTATGAACTGGGGGAGTTATCCCAGCCTAATATGGCAATAAGTGGTAAGAAAAGATAAGCAATAAAACTCAATCTTTTCCCATTTTGTGTGAGGAGAAACCATTTCAGACTGTGGTTGTTTTAATATTTCAGGAAAGAGAACGACGGCATGTGCTGTAAACTGTTTCCAGTCAAACCATCGGTGAGTTTCATGTACTACTGACACCAGCTCCCTGACGAGGGTGAATTACATGACAGAGTGGCTTCACTCGACAAACCTAAGTTTGCCAATTAATGTTTACAATCAGTTTGTGAGTTTGAACGAAACAAGTTGTGGAATCGGTCTCTATTCTTGCCAGTATTTTGGCCAACATTTTAGTGTTTTCAAACTCCCATTTTGACATGTGGATGGTTGTCAGACATATTGCTTGCCTACAACCAAGCAATTAATAATCAACTATGTCATGCTTGTGAAGTACCGTATTCAGCGTAATAAGCGTCCCGCTCTTATAAGCGCCCACGGCGATATTTGCTAATATATTGGCTAGAGAACAATCCTAATTAGCACCCCTTCCGATAGATAAATGTACACAAGGATTATTTATTTGTGTATATTACGCACTCATGTGTTATATGCACCCTTAATTATGGGCAATTAAGTTATGGAAGAATATATCTGGCGTATGTAAACATTTTAGGCTGTGAGGATAAACCTCGAAATTTACGATCTTTCAACTCCGTTTTTTTTCACCAAAATAATATTCTAATAAGAGCCCACTATTCCTAATTTTAAGAGCGCCCTGGGCGTTTATTACGTCGAATACGGTATATCAAGTCAGTATTCAAAATAAATGTGAAGACAATGGGTCATCATGGTTTCCGATTAGTTCATTTTCTAGAACACTGACTGATTGCCGTTCAAAATGACCTCATGATGGTTTTCAACCTTGGTAATGCTATAGAAGAATGTCCTGTCAAAATTATTTAAAATCATGAAAATGTCCTGATGACATTTGTCTCTTGAAATATACCTGGGCCTTTCACGACCTTAATTTTTTAACGTAAAGAATTTAGGGGGTCTCTATGTTCAAATACCATCGGGGGGCACGGGTGGCCCAGTCGTCTAAGGCGCCGCAATTCACTGTGCAGAGTTGCGTCCCTTGGGCACGCCAGAAACCTATGATCGTGGGTTCGAATCAAGGTTCACCCCGATTATGTTTCTAGGTTTGTCAGCACCATACCAGTGCTTGTGGGTTTCACCTAAGTGGTAAACGTCCAAGACCTGCATCACTTCGGGCTTTCCTCCCACATTAATCTGACACGCCCGATATAACTAGAATAGTGTTAAAAGCGGCGTTTAACCAAACTCACTCACTCAAATACCATCGAAGACCATATATGTTTCACTTTGTTGTCTGATCCTCTTCCCAAGGCAAGGGAGTTAACTGACTATAAAAGTCCAGTTTCCACCCTTGCTGAACTTGGCTGGAATTATGGAATTATATTTTGACTAACGAGTCAATGCGTAGTCCAATCAAAATGGCAAAATGAAATCGACATCCGGTTCGTAAACTGCAGTGCAGATTTCTGTCAAGTGCATTATTTGCAAAGCATGTGGACCATCAACTCGGCGTCAACAGGTATTTGCCAAATCTTTTCATGTTCTTAATGCACTTCGCAAAGTAAGACCTGTTTTTCACAATATAGATTTTGATTATGGATACGACCGTCTTGACTGGGTGCCGCCATTTTATTTGAAGGAAATGCAAGTGATGTGAGAGGTGGAATCTGATTGGTCAATAACAGGGACATAGAAGGGACATAAATCGTAATAGCAACTGGTGGCACTACGATCGAGCCCAGAAATTCCAGCCTAGTTTGACAAGGGTGGAAACTGGACTGTTATGGTCTGTTAACTCCCTTGCCTCAAGAAGATGGTGTCTGAGCAATTTGTCTTCTGATGAAAATATATGTTTAAAACAAAGAAAACCTCAAATGACCTTGGCTCACCGTTAATTTTGACACCTGGAATATTGCCTGTGTTTTAGCCACTGCTCCTGGGCTACAGGAACAAGTCGGAGTTCTCTATTGGGAAGGGTGTCAATGATGAAGGTATGGCTATTTGATAGTTTTCAGACATTTCTTTTGTTTGTTGGTTGTTTAAAGGGCAAGTAAATTCAACATAGCAACGTTGTAGATTTTAATACTTTAGGGCATACTTAATTGCAAATGCTTGACCAAAATAAAATTTGAAAGACGGAAATAGTTTGAAACAGACGATAGAAAATGGCAGGAAAAGTCACCCCCCAAACGTAAAATTCTGCCACTGTGGGGATTCCCCTTACTGGGGTTAAAACCAGTTCCCGGTGTTTGATTGGGCCGATGCCTGCCTCTCTGCTCATCCATTTGATTACCATGATTACTGTGATTACCGCACCCACAACCTGTACTGAAGGGGTCGTTGTCGGTACAGGTACCACAGATAGGTACCCTGGTCAAAATCAGAATACAGTAACGAACCCGGTACCCCAAAGGGTGGATGAGTCCGTATTCCTCAACTCAAAACCAAAATTGGTTCATGTTTTGGTTCGCCTAATTACGAGTGTATGCTGGATGATGCTGTGCGACGTGGAATATGCACCTCATGGTGTATGCTCATTGTTTATAATATTGCACGCTGGAATGCTGCTCATGCACCAGTATGATACATGTTAGACAGAGGCATGGTACCTCAGTGGGCAGTAGCTATAAAAGCTGGCATTAGTCCGCACTAGTAAAAGCAGACACAATTGTATGCATGTCGCTATGTCAGTTAAGTAATCTTGAAAGCGACCCCGTTTCACCTCACCTAGAATGTCTTTGAAAGTTTTGGCAAAGACTGTTTTTATTTTTGCTTCAAGTAAGTGCAGTGATTAATTGAGTGAGTGAGTATGATTTTACTCCACTCTTACCTTGTGCAATATTCCTTCAATATCACCATGGGCGATGCCAGAAATGCCAGAAATGAGCTTCACGCATGTGGGGAATCGAACCTGGGTCTTTGGCGTGAGAAGCAAGTCTTTAAGCATCAGGTTACCCTATTGCTATCAGAGACACAAGAAGTTAAATTGTTTATTTCATTTTTGAAGCAATATTTCCCATAAATTTTCTAACATCACCAGGACTTGGAGTCCACACTGCACTGTATGTGTTAATAAATGAGCTTTTCTTTCAAGTCTTTGAATAACATTTAGAAGTGATACACATAAGAAAGAGAACAATAAGATAACAAAAGGTGGAACTAACAAGGGAGGCCAACAGATATTGCCGCTGATGGCTGATTAGCAAAAGGCAATAGAAGGCAACACTTTACAGTAATAAGCGCTCATGATTATGGACAACCCGAAGCCAGCCCTTGAAGCTGGAAGCCACCCATCAGTGGCAATTATCTGATGGCCTCCCTTGTTAGTTTCGACCTTTTGTTATTATCTTATTACTTTTGTTGTCCTTGCATGTACATATGTATGCTCTCTGCCTCAGGGCATTCATTCACCTGATGAAGGAGTTAGCATATACACCGAAACATTGTGTTCCTCATAATAAAGAAGTTGACATCCATGTATTCTCTTTCCTTATGAGCTTTTTTTTGTTGCCAGATGCCATTGTTGGATTCCGGTTCGGGCTGTACAAGGACGGACATTGCAATGTGGGACCTCCTGATGACATTCCCATCATCCCCGACTCCATGAAGAAAGTTGTGCAGGTAGGGAGGTCACGGAGGTCATGAATAATGAGTAAGTGATTTTGGTTTAACGCCGATTTTAACAGTGTTCCAGTTATATCATGGCGCAGCTCAATGTGGAGGAATGCCTGAAGTGATGCAGGTCTCAGACATTTACCACTTTGGTAAGGGCCAAAAGCACTGGTATGGTGCTGATAAACCTAGAAGAATAATCGGGGCAAGACCAAGATTCAAACCCATGATCATTGGTTTCTGGTGTGACCAAGGGACATAACTCAACCCCAAAATAGATGCCCAGAGACCCTGTGAAGATCCGGGTTAGAATTGGTTGTCATCAATCCATGATTTCGTAAAAGGCGACTGACGGGATCAGGTGGTCAGGCTCGCTGACTTGGTTGATGCATGTCATCGTATCCCAATTGTCAGGATCAATGCTCAATCACTGGATTGTCTGGTTCAGACTCCATTATTTACAGACCGCCGTCATATAGCTTGAATATTGCTGAGTGTGGTGTTAACAACAAACAAGCGAACAAACACAATGTCCAGTGAAATTACCCTGGAAATTGAAAGCAGATGAGTGCAAGACCCTGAAGTTGATGTCAATTCAACTTTACTAAACTGAATGAACTTCTCTTTCCTTCCTTTAGAACTTTCAGCACTACCTGACCACTAGCCAGTACTCTGTGTTCAACCCCGAGAACCACTCCGGCCACTGGCACCAGCTGACCGTCCGAACAACCACAGGACAGGATGTCATGGCCATTGCCGAGTTCCATCCCCAGCAACTCACCAAGGTGAACGGCTCTAAGCCAAAGAGGCTGGATCTAATCATTGTATATACCGTATTCGACGTAATAAGGGTCCAGGGCGCTCTCAAAATTAGAAATAGGGGGTTCTTATTAGAATATTATTTTGGTGGAAAAAAGAGAGTTGAAAGATAAATTTTGTGGTTTATGCTGACACACTGAAATGTTTATATGCGACAGATACATTTTTCCAGAATTTAATTGCCCATAATTAGGAATGCATGTAACACACGAGTGCGTATTATACGTGAATAAATAAGTCTTGTGTACATTGATCAATTGGAAGGAGTGCTAATTGGGATTGTTCACTAGCCAATATATTAGCAAATATCGCCGTGGGCGCTTATTAGAGCAGGGCGCTTATTACGTCGAATACGGTATATATATAAAAGAAACATTGCAAGTAGGAGTTTTCTCAGAGCATCGTAATCCGATTTATTTGCCAGGTAGTCACTTCTGGACAAATGTTTATCCAATAAAGCAAGAGATAGACGATGATTTTGATGGAGTAGGTCAACAGCTCATAACTGTCATTCAGAATACCCCCATGGTAACCTTTTTGAGGTTGCGTGATTGAAAAAAACATCCCGACTGTTTCTCTCCTGATCTGGTAAGCAACGCTCTGATTTGTCGGAGGAAAGACTTTTCTAACTTCACCTGGAGCTGGATGTCCTCAGGTCTTTGTTTAGTAGTAGCGAGAACTTATATCTGATTGTGTCTCAAACAACAAACTAGCAAAACTGTAGGTGCAATGATGGTTAAAATCCTGTTTGAGTAAGGATAAGATATATGAATGAACGACTTCTTTATTACAATTAGGAGCAATGTTTTGGTGCCTCCTACCTACATACTTGTCAACCATACTCTGTATATCACACCGAACCTACACCGAACATTGCATCTAATTGTAATAAAGAAGTTGTTCATCCATATATCGTACTTACTTAGTACTCCAACTTCTAAATGCCTCTCAAAGAAGAAAATCTTGTTTGTTGGAACAATAACAGTGTTCCCGCTGGCTTTTGAAACTGCCAGTCCCGGTGGACTGGCAACTGTTAATTTACCAGTCCCCGCTAATTTTTGTCACTCTGAACATTAAACTAGTTTTAATTCTTTCAGCATCATCAACAATGCTGTGTCGTGGCTGACAAATTCAGTGACGTCATCACTGAAGTAACTTACCGTATTCGACGTAATAAACGCCCAGGGGGCTCTCAAAATTAGAAATAGGGGGTTCTTATTAGAATATTATTTTGGTCTAAAAAAGAGAGTTGAAAGATAAATTTCTTGGTTTATGCTGACAGCCTGAAATGTTTATATACGAGAGATGTATTTTTCCAGAATTTAATTGCCCATAATTAAGGGTGCATATAACACACGAGCGCGTATTATATGCGAATAAATAAGTATTGTGTACATTGATCAATCGGAAAGGGTGCTTATTCGGATAGTTCACGAGCCAATATCTTAGCAAATATCGCCGTGGGCGCTTAGTAGAGCTGGGCGCTTATTACGTCGAATACGGTAGTTAGATTTACATGTCATTCACACAAATTTCATTCACAATTTTCTCTTTTTCCCCAGAATATTTCACTTCAGTTCAATACTACTGATTAGTGCCGATGGTTTGTTCAACAACCAAGATGTATATGACACTTTATTTGCCGGTCCAGAGGGACTGACAGTCACATGAATTACTGGTCCAAGCCTAATTTTACTGGTAAATTGGTACCAGTAAATGGGAACTGAATACATTTGATGTTGTTTTGAAAGGGAGTTCTTATTAGAGTACCATATGTAGCCCAGTAGGCACCACACTAGCATAACAGGATCATGTGTTGGAATGCCAGAGATAGCCCTTGGCGTGTCTGCTCGACACCTTGCTCTTCACCCATGTGTTGGAATGCCAGAGATAGCCCTTGGCACGTCTGCCCGACACCTTGCTCTTCACCCATGTTTTTCGATGAAGTGGTAAAGGTCAAGACCTGCATTACTTCGGTCGTTCCTCGGGGCACGGATGGCCCAGTCGTCTAAGGTGCCGCAATTCGCTGTGCAGAGTTGCGTCCCTTTGGCACGCCAGAAACCTATGATTGTGGGTTCGAATCCCGGTTCACCCCGATTATGTTTCTAGGTTTGTCAGCACCATACCTTGTGGGTTTCACCGAAGTGGTAAACGTCTTCGACCTGCATCACTTTGGGCTTTCCTCCCACATTAAGCTGACACGCCGTGATATAACTGGAATACTGTTAAAAGCGGCATTAAAACCCAACTCACTCGGTCTTTCCTCCCACACCAAGCTGACACGCCGTATTGTGACATGACATACTGTTGAAAGTGGCTTTAAACCTAACTCCCTATCATCTTGCAGGAGGAGTTGGAGGCAGAGAAGGAGTCAATACGAGTGTACTTCACTGAGGGAAAGGGGAGAGACTCAGGTGTGACATCTATGTACTTCCATCAGAGCAGAGCCAGGTAATGATAATAATAATCATCATCAATCATCATCAATCATCATCATCATCATCATAAGGGGGCACGGGTGCCCCAGTCGTCTAAGGCACCGCGATTCGCTGTGCAGAGTTGCATCCCTTGGGCACGCCAGACACCTATGATTGTGGGTTCGAATCCTGGTTCGCCCTGATTATGTTTCTAGGTTTGTCAGCACCATACCCCTGCTCGTGGGTTTCACCGAAGTAGTAAACGTCTGAGACCTGAATCACTTGGGGCTTTCCTCCCACATTAAGCTGACACTCCGTGATATAACTGGAATACTGTTAAAAGCGGCGTTAAACCCAACTCACTCACTCACTCACTCATGATCACACATAATACAATCAATATACCACAGGGAAGTAGGTAATGCCACAGTACATCTCTAAATGACATGGCTATATAGAGTAACACTCTGCAGACAATTTTGAAACTTTGGCAAGACATTTTGAAGAAATAAGCTTTGTGTATACAGAGCTAAAGGTAAGCTGCATTTTTGCATAAAATACCCCCAAAAAATATTCAAAACCCAATTACTTTCAATTAACTTGCATACAGAAACGCATGCAGTAAATGAAAAACTCAAATATATAAACACCGCTCTCGTAAATACCAAATGAAGCTTTTTCAGAATGCATACAAAGGAGCTAATTTCCAAAACACAATTATGAGCTAATTTACTTTCAAATTCTATATATCTAGAACAGTTATATACATCTAAAACATTATTTCATGGTCTCAAAATCTTCACTAATTTTGGGAAAAACACAATAGAGTGATGAATGGATGAGTGAAAAAATATTGGCTACCCAATGAAAAATGTCCTAACCCAATTAAATTAGAAACCCTAGAGTAAAAATTCAATTGCTCAAAACGTTATCTGGAGCTCTGTGTATAGATGTAATCTTGGCTTGTAAATATGTTCCAGAGCATCAACTGACAAGGAAGAACCATATGAGCTTGTCTATGGTGCAACAGTGAGTACTTGGATTTCAATTCATGCTCTTTTAAAAAAGGATAGCCTCCATGGTCTAGTGTCTGAGGGGGATGTTAAATTGCTCATGGTATCTCAGTGGCCATGGGTGGCCCAGTCGTCTAAGGCACCGCGATTTGCTGTGCAGAGTTGCGTCTCTTGGGCACGCCAGAAACCTATGATTGTAAGTTCGAATTCCGGTTCGCTCCGATTAGGTTTCAAGGTTTGTCAGCACCATACCTGTGCTCTTGGATTTCACCAAAGTGGTAAACGTCTGAGACCTGCATCACTCCGGGCTTTCCTCCCACATTAGGCTGACCCGCCATGATTTAAACTGAATAATGTTTAAAGCGGCGTTAAACCCAACTCACTCATGGTATCTCAGTGGGCTAGCTCTATAAAACCAGCATAAGTCTGGGCTAGTACATACGCATATTGCACATCGCTATTCACACAGATGCAATAATCTTGAACTCGTAATTAAACGCCATTTCACCTCACCTCATACTTGTGGTTCTTTGTAAGTGCTACAATAGATAAATAAATAATAGCTGTTTTAAAAAAGTAGACGAACGGGGTTGATATCTTTCAACTACTGATGATTTGAATAGCTGTATATATTTCATGGACAATAAAACTGGTAAGGAGAATTGAATGCAATACTAAAATACCTCTGGAATTAAGAACATCAGGACAAAAACCCAGCTCACTGACTCACTCTGATATTTTTCAGCATATTTATGAAGAGGTTCTTGGACTGAAGTTTAGAATTTCGCCTGATGCTTTCTTCCAAGGTTGGTTCACTTATATGTTTGTTTGTTTTGTTTGTTTTTTTTGTTTTTTTTAAATATTTTTTGTTTGTTCTTTCACCCTGCGACCGCCTCCGTGGTCTAGTGGTAGAGCATCCGCCCGGAGAGCGGAAGGTCAGGGGTTCGATCCCCGGCCGCGTCATACCAAAAGACGTTAAAAGATGGTACTTGTTGTTACCCTGTCTGGCGCTCGGCATTAAGGGGCTAAAACAAGGACTGGTCGGCTCGGAGTCAGTATACTGTGTCTGAGTGGGGTGATCATGTTAAACTGCGACATGGTATCTCAGTGAGCTAGCACTATAAATCGGCATCAGTCCGGACTAGTACAAGCAGCCACACAAACACACACACGTACATGTACGTCGCTATATAAGAGCAATAATCTTGGACGCGACGCTAAACCCCATTTCACCTCACCTCACCTCTTTCACCCCGCACTCAGCAATATTCCAGCTATATGACGGCAGCTTGTAAATAATCATGTCTGGACCAGACAATCCAGTGATTGCATCAGCGTATGCAATTGGGATACGATGACATTGGTTTACTTTTGGCTGATGCTCTTAATTAGGTTCTTGCATTGAGATCCATGGTGGAAAGGGCACAAGCATCAATATTTTGTATACAGATTTGTGTCCCTTCATGGAGTTATCTAGACTTGCTCAGAGGTTGATATTGGACCATAATGTCAAAAATTCCAAAAAATTGAAATTACACATTTCACAATTCATGTTGTAAGATAATAACTTTGTAGAAATGGCTTTGGAGTCCAGGATAAGTTGTTTCCCTTGTGCAGGCCAGGATCCTGTGATCAGTGGGTTCAAAAAGATGTTAAAATAAGTACTTGTTGTAACACTGTCAGGCGCTCGGTATTAGGGGCTAAAATAAGGACTGGTCAGCTCGGAATCAGTAAACTGTGCCTGAGTGGTGTATTCATGTTAAACTGGGGCATGGTATCTCAGTGGGCTAGCACGATAAACTCGGCATTAGTCCAGACTAGTACAAGCATGCTCTCATGCTCTCGCAGGCACGCACACACAGACACGCATGCATCCACACACACATGAAGGCATGCAGGCACGCACACACACACATGAAGGCATGCAGGCACGCATGAGTTGGAGTAGCAACCAACACTGGTCATAAGAGGTGACCAAAAGGATCAGGCGGTCAGGCTTGTTGACTTGGTTGATAGATTGTCCTCATACCCCGATCGTTGCTCACAATATCGATCACTGGATTGTCTGGTCAAGACTTAATTACTTACCGGCTGCTGTCATATAACTGGAATATTGCTGAATGTGGCGTTAAACAACAAACAAAGGTAAAAGTGGAGTCAGTTGCATCTTCCCGAGGCAAGAGAGTTAACTGACTATAGAAGTCCAGTTTCCACCCTTGCCAAACTAGGCTGGTATTATGGAGTGACATTTTGGCTGTACTAACGAGTCTATGCATAGTCCAATCAAAATTGTGCACCAAAATCGAAATCCGGTTCGTAAACTGTTGTGCAGATTTCAGTTGATTGTAGGATTTGCAAAGCATGTGCACGGCCAACTCGTCAGCAGATATTTTCCGAATCTTTTCATGTTTTAATGAAGGTGCCTACGTGATTTGATGCATTTCACGATGTAAGACCCGTTTTTATCACAATATAGATCTTGATTATCAATCAGATCGTCCTGACTGGGCGCCACCATTTTGTGTGAAGCAAACGCAAGTGATGGAATCTGATTGTCCATAGGAGAGGCTTAAAAGGGACATAACTGGTAATAGCCACTGGTGGCGCTACGATCGAGCCCAGTAATTCCAGCCTAGTTCGGCAAGGGTGGAATCTGGACTTTTAAAGTCAGTTAACTCTCTTGCCTCGGGAAGATGAGTCTGTTGTGGCCTCCCAGCACACGTGGTACATGTAGTAGATAGTGAGGCCTGTACTACATTGTAAGTGTGTCTTCAGATGTTTTGTCCAGTGAGATGTACCCACTCCTTCACTGACATATTGTGGTTTCAGTGAACACTAAGGCAGCCGAGATCCTGTACAGCCAACTTGCCGAGTGGTGTGACCTCACCCCCACAACAACTGTCCTGGATATATGCTGTGGCACTGGGACGATAGGTCTCACCCTGGCTAAGGTAGGACATAAAGACTATCGGTCTTACCCTGGCTAAGGTAGGACATGGACTATTGGTTTCACCCTGGCTAAGGTAGGACATGGACTATTGGTCTCACCCTGGCTAAGGTAGGACATGGACTATTGGTCTCACCCTGGCTAAGGTAGGACATGGACTATTGGTCTCACCCTGGCTAAGGTAGGACATGGACTATGGGTCTCACCCTGGCTAAGGTAGGACATGGACTATGGGTCTCACCCTGGCTAAGGTAGGACATGGAGTATGGGTCTCACCCTGGCTAAGGTAGGACATGAACTATTGGTCTCACCCTGGCTAAGGTAGGACATGGACTATGGGTCTCACCCTTGCTAAGGTAGGACATTAAGACTATTGGTCTCACCCTGGCTAAGGTAGGACATGGACTATGGGTCTCACCCTGGCTAAGGTAGGACATGGACTATTGGTCTCACCCTGGCTAAGGTAGGACATGGACTATGGGTCTCACCCTGGCTTAGGTAGGACATGGACTGTGGGTCTCACCCTGGCTAAGGTAGGACATGGACTATGGGTCTCACCCTGGCTAAGGTAGGACATGGACTATTGGTCTCACCCTGGCTAAGGTAGGACATGGACTATGGGTCTCACCCTGGCTAAGGTAGGACATGGACTATTGGTCTCACCCTGGCTAAGGTAGGACATGGACTATTGGTCTCATCCTGGCTAAGGTAGGACATGGACTATTGGTCTCACCCTGGCTAAGGTAGGACATGGACTATCTGTCTCACCCTGGCTAAGGTAGGACATGGACTATTGGTCTCACCCTGGCTAAGGTAGGACATGGACTATTGGTCTCACCCTGGCTAAGGTAGGACATGGACTATGGGTCTCACCCTGGCTAAGGTAGGACATGTACTATGGGTCTCACCCTGGCTAAGGTAGGACATGGACTATGGGTCTCACCCTGACTAAGGTAGGACATGGACTATTGGTCTCACCCTGGCTAAGGTAGGACATGAACTATTGGTCTCACCCTGGCTAAGGTAGGACATGAACTATTGGTCTCACCCTGGCTAAGGTAGGACATGAACTATTGGTCTCACCCTGGCTAATGTAGGACATGTACTATGGGTCTCACCCTGGCTAAAGTAGGACGTGGACTATGGGTCTCACCCTGGCTAAGGTAGGACATGGACTATTGGTCTCACCCTGGCTAAGGTAGGACATGAACTATTGGTCTCACCCTGGCTAAGGTAGGACATGGACTATTGGTCTCACCCTGGCTAAGGTAGGACATGAACTATTGGTCTCACCCTGGCTAAGGTAGGACATGGACTATTGGTCTCACCCTGGCTAAGGTAGGACATGGACTATTGGTCTCACCCTGGCTAAGGTAGGACATGGACTATTGGTCTCACCCTGGCTAAGGTAGGACATGAACTATTGGTCTCACCCTGGCTAAGGTAGGACATGGACTATTGGTCTCACCCTGGCTAAGGTAGGACATGAACTATTGGTCTCACCCTGGCTAAGGTAGGACATGGACTATTGGTCTCACCCTGGCTAAGGTAGGACATGGACTATTGGTCTCACCCTGGCTAAGGTAGGACATGGACTATTGGTCTCACCCTGGCTAAGGTAGGACATGGACTATGGGTCTCACCCTGGCTAAGGTAGGACATGGACTATCTGTCTCACCCTGGCTAAGGTAGGACATGGACTATTGGTCTCACCCTGGCTAAGGTAGGACATGGACTATGGGTCTTACCCTGGCTAAGGTAGGACATGGACCATGAATCTCACCCTGGCTAAGGTAGGACATGGACTATTGGTCTCACCCTGGCTAAGGTAGGACACAGAGACTACAGGTCTCACACTGTCATTTTATAACTCAGGTAGTGCCAAGATCACTATGTAGCTCAGCCAGCAGGATTCTGACCCTTGTTTGTGTGTTTCAGAGAGTGGAGAAGGTGATCGGGGTGGAGATGTGTCAGCAGGCCGTGGAAGATGCTAAAGAAAATGCAAAGTTAAATGGTCAGTGTTAACTCACCTGGGCTAAGAGCAGCGGGGTAGCCTTGTGGTTAAAGCACTCGCTCATCAGGCCTAAGACTCGGGTTTGATTCCCCGTATAGGTACAATGTGTGAAGTCCATTTCTGATGTCCCCTGAACTGATATTGCTGGAATATTGCTAAATGTGGCGTAAAACCAAACTTACTGACTCGCTCACAAGGGCTAATCAGTACAAGTGCGACCCTGAGGGGAGTTCACAGGGAGATCTCTATAATCTTATTCAGGAGAAATCTGTTGTGGGTTTCCTACACTGTGACGGGCCCTGTGTGGAGTCTAGGTTAGGTCACCAGTAACCTATGCTGGTTGTAAGAGGCAGCTAAATGGACCAGGTGGGCAGGCTTCAATATTGATTGATTGTATGCTATCAAACACTGTTCTGTATGCGGGGCGGTCGGGTAGCCTAGTGGTTAAAGCATTCTCTTGTCACACTGAAGACCTCGGTTCGAAACCCGACATGGGTACAATGTGTGTGGCCCATTTTTGGTGTCCCCCGCCGTGATATTGCTGGAATATTGCTAAAAGTGGCGTAAAACCATACTCACTCACTCACACTGTTCTGTATGCTCCAGTCTCAATGATGTACCTATTATTCAGTGCAGCCTTAAACAACAAACAATGTTATGGCTGATATAATTGGTAAAACCAAGCTCACTCACTCATTAAAATCAGATCTTAGTTTTCGATACCGCTAAACAAAGATCTGAGGACATCCCATTATGGGTCACGTCAGACCGACCTTGCGCGAACTTTGACCGACAAATGGAATGACCAATCAGAAGGCTGCTTTCTCGTGCTTTACGGCACTAATTTCAAATTGGCGACTACGCTTCGAAACATATTTTGACGTATTCTCGATTAAAAATTTTAAAACTGGTAAGAAGAACATTCTGGAATGGCTTATAGATGGCCTAGATTGTATGGATATAATCATAAAACCCGTAACTGTCGTTCGGAATACCACTTGTTAAAGATTTTGTGGTTGCATGATTAGAAAACACATTCCGACTGTCACTTTCATGATCTGGTAAGCGACGCTCTGATTGGTTGGATGAAAGGTCGTTCTGACGTGACCCGTAAAGGGATGTCCTCAGATCTTTGTTTAACGATAGCGAGAACTAAGATCTGATTTTAATGAGATTCATTGACTGATAGTTTTTGGATCTGATAAATATGCATATATTCTACTGAAAAGTTCTTCAGCAACTCAAGCTTGTCGTAAGAGGCGACTATGCTTGTCGGAAGTGACGACTTGCAGGATCGGGTGGTCAGGCTGTCTGACTTGGTTGATGCATGTCATCGTATCCCAAATACATGGATCGATGCTCATATCAATCACTGGCTTGTTTGGTCCAGACTCGATTATTTACAGACCGCCGTCATGTAGCTTGAATATTGCTGAGTGCGGCGTTAAACAACAAACAAACAAACCAGGTCGTCTGCTGTAATAACCATGTTTGTGAAGCCAATCGAAATAAGGACAGCGATATAATTGGATACCGTGTTTTCATCACAAGGGAAACAACTTGTGTTCTGCATGGGGTGGTGCCACAATCAAGCCAAGAAAAGTAGGCTTAAAATGGCAGGGGTTTAAACAACAAACAATTTAATTGGATAAAGATTGAAGTGTAGGGCCTGATGGCTTGTCAGACTGTGTCGTATAATCGTCTTGTCATCACCAGGTGTGACCAATGTGAGGTACTACTGCGGCAAGGCAGAAGACGTTATCAGCCACATGACATCATCGTTGTGGTCTAAAGATGTCGTAGCCATTGTGGACCCACCAAGAGCTGGATTACGTAAGTTGACGACCTTATTGTCAAATATGAGTCAACCAGACCTGCATCATTTATCGATGTCCATTGGTCTGAATTCAAAGAATTTAAATTTTTCTGGGTTAGGTAGTTTTCAGATCTAGACAACGTATTGTCGTATTCCAACATTACATTTGAAAAAAGGAGAAGCTCAGTGTGCATTCTACAGAAGCCTTTTAGGGCCATTTGGTTTTTTTCTTGAAATTTCAAGATACTAAGTTGAAATTTCAAGATGTTTTGTTGAAATTTCAAGATACATACTAAGTTGAAATTTCAAGATTATAACTTGAAATTATTAACTTCATATCTTGAATTTTCAACTTAGGATCTTGAAATTTCAAGATGGTATTGAAAAAAACAAAAAAACAAATGGTCCTAACAGGCTTCCGTAGCATTCTACTGAGCAAATTCCAAATATTAAACCTCCAACCTAAAAGGGCGGGAGTATATAGTTATGCCAAGGAATTACACCCTTTCAAGGACATTTTTGTGTGCGACCTATAACTTGAAAACTACTGCAGAGATTCTTTTCAAGCTTAAACACTTTACATACCAAGTTTGATTTCAATATTTTCAATTTTCGGAAAACTTCAGCTATTTTATATTTTTTTATTTAGAATATTTTTACTTAAACATTTGTGCTACCTATAACTTGAAAACTACTGCATGGATTCTTTCAAATCTAGCAAACAGTTTCCATACTAATAAGTGCAGGATGTTTCTGAGAAGATACAAATTTTTTACGTTTAGAACTTTGATACCCCCGACCTTATGCTGAAATCAGCATTAAGCCTCACTCCAGCAACACCAATGTGATACCTCTGGGTTATTTTTTATATTATTTAAACTAAATCCAATTTATAATGTGCAACCTTTGGTTATCTTCCATGCCAGTTGCACGTTTTCTATGCTTTCATAACTGCTAACTAAATTCAAGTGGCGGTGTTTTAGATGGCTGATTGTCTTTGCGTTCAGGATCTGTGAAGATCTGGGGTAGAATAGGTGACTATGCTTGTCGTAAGAGGCGACTAACAGGATCGGGTGGTCAGACTTGCTGACTTGGTTGATGCATGTCATCGTATCCCAATTGCGTGGATTGATGCTCATGTTAATCACTGGATTGTCAGGTCCAGACTCTATTATTACAGACCGCCGTCATATGGATGGAATATTGCCAAGGGCAGCATTAAACAACAAACAAACAAATCTTTGCGTTCAGACTTTGTTGAATGTTACTCATGCTATCAGTCACTGGTTTGCTGCAGATGATAATGAATCGTGTACTTTCAGACAAGAAGGTAATCAAGGCTCTGCGAGGGTGTCAGAAGCTGAAGAGGCTCATCTATGTCGCCTGCAATGCCAAGTCAGCTAAAACAAACTTTTTTGAGTAAGTATTGTCACAAATCAAACCACGCCAGGAGGCACAGGAGTCCCAGTGGCTGTGCAGAGTTGTGTCACTTAGACCCAAAGTCTAGGATCGTGGGTTTGAATCCAAGAATCAAGGTGACGTCACATTTTGTGTGCCCATGAATGGCTGATGAATGCAAATGGCTTCATTATTCAAACTTTTCAGTCACGAGTGGAAGCTTCGTCATTTTTTTAAAGTTTAATAGATGAATTAAATGATCAGTGAGTATACAAAACAAAATCGGACATTTAAACCACGAATTTGGGTGAACTTTCCTTATATCCACGAATCAAGGTTACGCGAGGGTACATTCAACTTCAAATTGGATTTGAGGGTGCATATTGCATCACAATTTGGCACTGATAACCCTCCTCACAGTATTTGCATTCACTTTCCAGTCTCATTCGCAAGGAGAGCAAGAAGCATCGAGGTGGGGTCTTCCTGCCGGTCAAGGCCATCCCTGTTGACCTCTTCCCCCAGACACCCCACTGTGAACTCATCATAGTATTCGAGAGGGATATGGAGAACAGCAGCAGGACCGACCCACACACCACGAGGGAGACAGGAGCCGACACCGACACAAGTCAGTCTCAGTGTGTGCAAGACACTGCTTCGAGTCTGACCGATAGTGCCAAAGAAACTGCTTTGAGTCCGACTGACAGTGTCAAAGACACTGCTTTGAGTTTGATGGACAGTGTCAAAGACACTGCTTCAAGTGTGACTGACGAGGGTTCAGGAAAGGATGGGGTTGTTACGGAAGGGGATGGTAAACAGTGATGAACTGAAGGAGGAGTTCAGGGGGGGTCGGGGGTCAAATGGTTGAAGTAGGAAAGGGGAAAACAGGATATTTTATTATGTTCACAGATATGCCTTGTAAGATGTTATTCATCTTTTGTAATAAATATTCAAAGGTAATTGTGACTTTTATGGTACTATGTTGGCTTATTTTATAAAAGTGTAAGGTGAATTATTTCTAAATCAGTAAATCAAGGAGAACATGCAGACCAGTTTGGCCACTGTCATTGGAACACCTTCATTAAAAATATGAAAAGATTTAGACAATATCGTTTGATGCCCAGATGAGGGTACTCATAGCTCTGCAAATCCTGCAATATAACCAAAATCTGCACAGCAGTTTTGATCTGACTATGCAGAAATTCCAGCCTTGGTCAGCAAGGATGGAAACTGGACTTTTAAAGTCAGTTAACTCACATGCCTCGGGAAGATGACAATGAACATGAAAGACCATGAAGACAAGTTAAATATATTTTATTAGACATACTGGCAAGTGCTGAAATAAATAGAATCAACAACATAACAAACTTGAGCATTCTGTGATGACTACATCTACAATACCGCAGTATTGCATGAAATGCCACACCAAGGCTCCATCCTCCACATCTCCAGGGCTCACATTTCGGTAAACGACACCAACCCCTGATCCATTCCTGTGGTTCTTGCTATCTCAAATTACCCACCCTTGAATTTCATTAGCCCATTTGATTTGCTACGCTACTCAGCCTACAAACCAGCCTCAATGTTGTGCTGGTGATATCAACAATAGGTGCCAGCCCAAACTCACTGACACACAAAGGAATGCCCACAAACTAGGGCTTGGACAGGTAACTTGGGTACTCCGGTCGGGTGGGTACTGAGAAGGACCCAGGTACCCACAGGACTACCCGGAACACAAAGGAATGCCCACAAACTAATGCTTGGACAGGTAACTTGGGTACTCGGGTCGGGTGGGTACTGAGGACCCAGGTACCCACAGGACTACCCGGAACACAAAGGAATGCCCACAAACTAATGCTTGGACGGGTAACTTGGGTACTGAGGTCGGGTGGGTACTGAGGACCCAGGTACCCACTGGACTACCCGGACACGTGATTAGTCGTGTGATATAGTGTTTAATGACAAAAAGTATCTAGAACTATATGGTTACACTACAAGTCACTAATTTTCACATTTGTTTCTGACTATGCACCCATTCCTTCTAAATTTTATGTTTGAATATAGATACAACTTAAGTCAACTTCAGTGTATGCATGACCTGATCGTTTGATATGTCTAAATACATTTTATCCAGGGCTATGGTCAAACTCTTCCTAATCGACATTATGTACCTATCTCTTGAGACCTACAGCGGGTATCCTAGTAGGGACGGGTAATAGGGGAGTGGGTACCCGGGTAGTAAATTTGGACTCGTCCCAGCCCTACCACAAACATCTTTTTAAAGGAAAGGATGTCTTCATGTCGACCAAATCTGGCAGTGGCAGGTCCTCCTTTACCCATTTCCTTTTTCCTTATCTCAATGTTTGATTGGTCGATAAAATGATATGTAAATCAAGGGCAGGTAATTTGAGATCGCGAGAACCCGGGAATGGATCCAGGGGGCAGTGTAAGTTTACCGAAATGTGAGCCGGTGAGGTATAGAGGATGACCAAGCCTCATAAGGGATTGGCACATTTTTCATTTGTAGGGTTGTGAGCACATTAAAAATATGTCTTAAACAAACATCCCAGCCCCCTCCCCCTTCCCCAAGAATATTAAATACCACATTTCCTCTATTAGATGCCGGGTCTCTAATACTGTGATATGTTGGGGATTAATAATGACCATTTCCTGTAAATGTACCCTTTGTATATGATTTGGTTCGTTGGTTTGATGTTTAACACCGCACTCAGCAGTATTCCAGCTATATGACGGCGGTCTGTAAATAATCGAGTCTGGACCAGACAATCCAGTGATTGACATTATGAGCATCGTACCACACAATTGGGATCGATGACATGCATCAACCAAGTCAGCGAGTCTGACCACCCGATCCCCTTAATCGCCTTTTACGACAAGCATAGTCGCCTTTTCCGACAAGCATAGTCACCTTTTACGGCAAGCATGGGTTGCTGAAGAACTATTCTACCCCGGAATATTCACGGGTCCATTTGTATATGACTAGGATTTGGGATTCAATAAGGAAGTGAGTTCCCACTGTGCTACCATTAAACAGAATCTATGCCATGTCTCAAAAAGACGCCGGGTCAACGTCTTTCACAAAAAAAAAGGTAGACACTGGGCATCTAGTAGAGGAAATATGAGATGCAGTCCCAAACATGGGATTCAAACTCATGACTAGCCAATATAAGGAGCTTTAAGGATCCTGTACACCAAAAGACAACACCATTACACATCATCAACAACACTCATAAAATCATGGATAAAACATTGATGGAATGTCATGTTTGGAATTGTGATATGTTTATTCGTTTGTGGTCTAACGCTGCACTCAGCAATATTCCAGCTAAAGTGTCAGCCTGTAAATAACTGAGTCTGGACCAGACAATCCAGTCATTGACATCATGAGCATTGATCTACACAATTGGGATACTATGAAATGTATCAACCAAGTGGTGAGCCTGACCACCTGATCCCGTTAGTCGCCTCTTACAACCAGCATGGGTTGCTAGGGAAACCAATTATAATCCTGATCATGGGTAAATTGTGTGATGTAAATAGGAATAAAACATAAGAAGACTTCTTGGACGCTTATAACATGCATAGAACATATTTCTACCTGTTCAAAATAAAATACTTTTGCGCTAGGCTCTATGGCACTTCATAAATCGGTTAAGTCGTTGTTTTGTCATCCTAAAAAAATACACATTTGTCATAGCAAACAAGACGATTCCAATAGAAAAAATGCATTAATTTCATATTTTCATATCTTAAAACTTTTGATAATATGTGAAAACATTTTTCAAAATTATTTGTGAATACCGTACCTAGAAAAAGACACCAATATGAATCAATATGAATATGCAACGAATAGAGAGAAAAAATACAAATTGTTTTATTTAAACACAATGTCAAGAAAACTAACCAGCCTGAGCTGTTAAAATTAATCAAAATATAAATATTATTTTCAATCAAAAATCAGTACTTAGCTCTCTATCTACCAGGTAAATAAACACAAACAACAGATTGAAAAGGTTCAGGACAAAATATAAATCATTTTTAGATGTTACATTTCATTGTCAATTTTCTTTTAGCCAGTAGGCTGAGCTAAAGAATCACTCATCACCCCACTGGTGATACTAGCTGGATGAGTGAATGAGTGAGTTGAGTTTAACGCTGCTTTTAACAGTATTCCATTTATATCACGGCGTGTCAGCTTAATGTGGGAGGAAAGCCCGAAGTGATGCAGGTCTCGGACGTTTACCACTTCGGTGATGGGTATGGTGCTGACAAACCTAGAAACATAATTGGGGTGATCCGGGATTCGAACCCACAATCATAGGTTTCTGGCGTGCCCAAGGGCCGCAACTCTGCACAGCGAATCATAGCGCCTTAGACGACTGGGCCACCCGTGCCCCCAAAAGCTGGATGAGGTTAGGTTGTAAGTCCAAGAAAATACTGCTCTCATGATCACAAATTGTTTGATCTTAAAAACAATGTCTATTTTGTTATTACAAAGATTGTGCAGCAATACATCACAATGTTGACAGGGAAATATTGCTTTCCTCTTCCCTGATTAGTTGGTGTTAAAACCAAGGCCTGGCTGGTTATCACAAATGGGTCTGAGCACCACAAACTCTCATCATTCGACATGTCTGTATCTTGCACGGTTCCAACATTCCTGTAATATTTGTTTATTTTGTCTTTTTGTTGTTTAACGCCGCACTCAGCAGTATTCCAGCTAAATGACAGCGGTCTGTAACTAATCGAGTCTGGACCAGACAATCCAGTGATTGACATCATGAGCATCGTTCCACGCAATTTGGATACGATGACATGCATCAACCAAGTCAGCAAGCCTGACCATCCAATCCCGCTAGTCGCCTCTTACGACAAGCATAGTCGCCTCTTACAACAAGCATTTCGTGTATTAAAAGCCAGTTATCCACTAGTATGTAAGTAAAGGAACCCAACAATTTGTTGTCAAATTCATTCCAGTATAAATGAAACAACACAAATGCATACTACTTGCAGTCAATACCGTGAGTATGTTTTGCTTAAACACAAATACAGTCAAAATATGTTCTTTTTAGTCAGTCATTTTCCATTACTTCAATAACAGTTCAGAGTATCATTCATCGTAGAACTGACTGAAGGATGATAAACACCTATATCAGGCTGGCGGTCTCTTCTGTAAGAATACTGTATAGTATTGTGATATGATACTGGTATTATAACACCCCAGTAGACACGAGACACCTTGGGTCATATTTATAAACATTCTCAGAATAAAGAGTTACTCCTCAGTGTAGAAAATATTGAGAATTCTCTAAGAGTAACTCTTTCGTCAAAGAATCTTCTTAAGACCTAGTCATAGGTCCTTTAGACTTAAAATTACTCTCAGAGTGAAAAAAATTTGGAGTCCACACTGAGCAAGGGCAGATCCAGTGAGGAGTCCAAAATATCAAAATCCTCTAACAGTAAATTTTACTGCCTACAACATACTACATTTGGTTTTCAAATGGGGGACGTCAACCCCCTGGGCCCCTCTGGATCCGCCTGTGATGAGGACTCTTTAGTCCATTTAAAGCATTTTCCTCACTCTACAACATGGCTGCCGTTTGACACCATAGCAGTCATCCCAGTCATTTTCAAGAATGGAAAAACCGCCTCTGTGGTCTTGTGGTAGAGCGTCCGCCCGGATAGCGGAAGGTCCGGAGTTCGATCCCCGTCCGCGTCATACCAAAAGACGTTAAAAGATGGTACTTGTTGTTACCCTGTCTTGCGCTCAGCATTAAGGGGCTAAAACAAGGACTAGTCGGCTTGGAGTCAGTATACTGTGTCTGAGTGGGGTATTCATGTTAAACTGCGGCATGGTATCTCAGTGAGCTAGCACTATAAATTGGCATCAGTCCTGACTAGTACAAGCAGCCACATAAACACACACACATGCATGCAAGTCGCTATATAAGTGCAATAATCTTGGACCCGACATTAAACCCAATTTCACCTCACCTCACCTCACCTCAGGTATCACTTGCATTTTCTTCAAACAAAATGGTGGTGCCAAATGAAAACGATCTGATTGATGTCAAAATTCATATTGTAATAAAACAGGTCTTACTTTCTTGAAGTGCATCAAATCACGTGAGTACCTTGATCAAAAACATGAAAAGATTTGGAAAATATCTGTTGACTCCAAGTTGATGGTACACATGCTTTGCAAATCCTGCTATCGACCAAAATCTGCATGGCAGTTTACGAACCAGATGTTGATTTTGTTATACGATTTTGATAGGACTATGCATAGACTCGTTAGTCCAGCTAAAATATAACTCCGTAATTGCAGTCTGGTTCGGCCAGGGTGGAAACTGGACTTTTATAGTAAGTTAACTCCCTTTCCTTGGGAAGATGGAGGTTTTCATGACTGAGCATGTAACATAATGTGGATTAAGGAGCAATGATTGGATTTTCAATGGGGGGAAATCAAATAGTTGCTCCCTTACAATGTATGGTCCTACATGGACAAGAATAGTTTCAAACTTTCACTGGCTTGTCTACTTTAACATAACACAAAAACACAGACATTTTCATCGAGCAAAATAGTTTTCACTGATAAAATAAGTGTGTAACATGGCTTTTATACATCTTGATATGCTTTAACCATAATTATCTGTGATTGTCATCAACACGATAATGTCTGTGAGTGATATGCATAAATACAATAAAACACAGAATGCAGCAGGATTTAACAAAAAATGATGGGAATACTAATCCATTTTCAAAAGTAAAAATGGAAAAGAAGAAGAGAATAAATGAGCAGTAAAGTCAGTGGCTCGATAAAAATTTGTGTCCTGCAGGCAAATTTAAACAAAAGATGAAGGACAGACTAATCCATTTTTAATAGTAAAAATGGAAAAGAAGAAGTGGAGAATAAACGAGAAGTAAAATCAGTGGCTCGATAAAAATGTGTGTCCTGCAGGCAAATTTAAACAAAAGATGAAGGACAGACTAATCCATTTTCAAAAGTAGAAATGGAAAAGAAGAAGTGGAGAATAAACGAGAAGTAAAATCAGTGGCTCTATAAACATTTAGGTTCGTATCACAAACAGAAAGTTTAATTGGACTGATCTTAATTGAAGTCTTGAATAGTGTGAAATCATTTGCATTAACAATCTTAACATGGCTGCATAAATACATTACACCTACACTTAAAATAAATAACACTACAGCAATGAGATCAGAAGTGGGGAATAATCTTTGAAATATCAGTTCGGAGTCCATCCAAATCACTAAACCATACCAGTTAAATGGCAGTGTATTTTGTTGTTTGACAGAGATTGTAAAACACATGTTCCTGTTTAGATTCGGTAGATGCTCATTTGCATTGTTTTTGGACAGTGATCAGTCGTCAGGAAGTTACTATATCTAGATGCTAGCGTGGTGTGTAAACTTCCGGTCTGATATACTGTAGATGGTGATAGTGTCTTATAGAACAACTGAGAAAGTGCTAGTGACGATGGACAGGTAAAGGCACTGTCTGGAACTTACCACTGGCTGGGTAGGCTGTATATAAGGGGACAATAGCGTGTTTACGTATCTCTCAGGCATTTTCATCACATCAAGACCAGCTTTCATGTGAGGATCACTCATCGTCCCTGATTCCCTGCCAGCCCATCTCAGATGGGTCACCGCTGGGTGAATATATATTATCATCACTGACTTTTGCTATTACCACTGTATTTTGTATCTGATACTGACCACTGTATTTTGTATCTGATACTGACCACTGCCATCAAATTGTTTATTGTCATTGAATATTATACTACCACTCTATTGTGTACTGCCATTGTAATTGCTGTGCAGTAATTTGTATATCTTGTTAATTTTTGTAAAACATTTGTTGATTGTGTACCACTTGTTGGTTGTTTGTTGGTTTCACACTAGGTTCTTGTACGTACAGATTTCTGGGTTTAACATATTGTTTCAATTTGGGAATGAACACATGACATAACAAGTCCCAAGGGGGTGGATATCTTCAGACAGGCCTCGTTGCTGTGTTCAATTGCACCCTGGATAGATATCAGCTGCTCTTTCTGTGTTGGAAGATCTTATAAAAGAATTTAAATGCACCCCTGACCATCAAGTACAGCCAGTAGAACTGCAGAAACAGGAGTCCGAGGCAGCTGACGCTGCACTTGATGGGGATGGTGGAGGGGACGTGGGTGATGGGGATGCCCTCATAGCGAGCGTACGACCAGAACAGATACGGGAATATCAGCACACGGCTGATGAAAAACACTGCAATCATCAGCAGTCCCACCACGGCGTACAGGACGGTGTGTTTCAGCTTCAGCTGCAAGATAACAGTTGACATGTTAGCACACAATACATAGTTTTCAAGCGGTACGGCGACTGGTGGTGTCATGACTAACGTTTGTTCATTGTTTGTTTGTTTGTTGCTAACGCCACACTCAGCAGTATTCCAGCTATATGACGGCGGTCTGTAAATAATCGAGTCTGGACCAGACAATCCAGTGATTGTCCTCATGAGCATCGATCTCCCAATTATGATACGATGAAGTAGCATGGGTTGCTGAAGACCTATTCTACCCCGGATCTTCATGGGTTGGCGAAATAGACATTGGCATTCATATTTGTACATTACGTCCTGCATAAAACGTCATTGCATTTTACATTTTACACTTTAAAATACCCCCTGGTCACTTCGTTTATGTTGACCAATGTTCATATGTAAAACGCCAGCTTGGTTAAAAATAGGTCCCTACAGGTTGTTTATCATTTGTTTGTTTGTTTGTTTGTTGTTTAACGCCGCACTTAGCAATATTCTAGCTGTATGACAGCGGTCTGTAAATAATCGAGTCTGGACCAGACAATCCAGTGACTGACATCATGAGCATCGATCTCCCAATTATGATACAATGACAAGGCATGATCCTGGTCATAATGCCTGCAGTTCCAGACTGTCAGTAATTGTGATCCAATCTTTTGAAGAAAATTCAACCAGTTTGACAAACATTGATTTCAGCAAGATTTCCCTACTTGAAACTTTTACGAGAATTTTGGTTTCATTGTCGAACAAGTTTTTAGAGATAACTAAATCTGAATTTCTATAAATAAGATAAGGATGAAAATGTCCTGTCATGGCTGATAATAAACCTGATAAAGCCGTGTCTTCACGTAAAACATTTCATTGCATCGGACCATATGGCACTGCTATGTTGGTAACTGCGTAATAATATCAAGTACCATTATGTCTAGTAATGTCTCATCACAAATTTCTCATTTTTATCGACCAAGTTTGTTATCACCTGTTTATATACCTCAAGGGGCGGTCGGGTAGCCTAGTGGTTAAAGCGTTCGCTCGTCACGCCGAAGACCCGGGTTCCATTCCCGACATGGGTACAATGTGTGAAGCCCATTTTCTGGTGTCCCCCGCCGTGATATTGCTGGAATATTGCTAAAAGCGGCGTAAAACCATACTCACTCACTCACTCACTCATATACCTCAATTCGGTGAAGGGATACAATGTATTCTTTTACTGCACATAATACTCAAAAATGTTTTTTTAGAATACTGCATCCCCTAGCGAGGGGTGTGCATTATGCTTGGGGTGAACTATGCTCAAGACAATATAGTAACACAAACCTGCAATAAGGCAAATCTGGCAGCAATAAATGGTACCGCCATTTCAAAGAGGTAGAAAACTCCAACAAAGAAATCACCCTTTCCATCTCGTAAAAACTGCAAACAAATACACGCATTGAAATAAATGTTGAACATGTTGAAAGATTTAGTTTTGCATCTTAAACCACCAGTGTGGTCATGGGTCACGCACCACTGCAATCTCATGCGACATGACCCCTGCGATCTGATCTGGATGTGTCACAGGGGTCGTGTCGCACGGGCTGCAGTGGTGCGTGACCTGTGATCACAGTGGTGATTTGGTGATGTATGGGATGTGTTGGGGTGATTGTTTTTTGAAGCTGGAAACTTTGTTCTAGGGCGTTTCCACACCATGATTGAGGAATAAGGAGAAATGCATAGTGTGAGTTTGGATAAGTTTAGAAATATTATATTTTACAAAGCCCAGTTTGACACAGGAAACACAGACAACAATCCACTGAGGATCAATCATAAACTTTTGAAACTTGCTTTTTGTCACATTAAATGATATAGAATAGTGCATGATTCAAACAAAAGTTTAGTACGAGTATAGTGTAAACCAGATCAGTCTGAGAGTGTTAAGTGAGGTTAAACGCTGCTTTGAACAGTGTTTTGTTTGATGATGGAGGGCTGGAGTGAGTGAGTGAATATGGTTTTACGCCGCTTTTAGCAATATTCCGGCAATATCACGGCGGGGGACACCAGAAATGGGCTTCACACATTGTACCCATGTCGGGAATTGAACCCGGGTCTTCGGCGTGACGAGCGAACGCTTTGACCACCAGGCTACCCGACCGCCCCTGGAGGCCTGGAAGTGATGCATGTCCAACAGGATGATCACAGTTTGGGGAATGTCTGTTTCAAACTCACCATCATCGGAGTTCACCTCTGCACAGTGAGGTGTGAGCATAGTCAGTGAGGTGTGAGGTTAAATGCACAAGTAAATGTTTAAGCTGTCATTGTAAACGTGTACCCACTAGCTCCACCTACCAGCACTAAGGGGAAGAACACAAGAGGCAGCACCACATGATGGACCATCATCATGGCGTTGGAGCGGAGGAAGTGTTGCACCCGCCGACCCCGGGGCATGGTCTGCACGTCAGGGTAGAGGTACCAGTGTGTCCTGTACATGGCCCAGGTGTCGTAGTAGAAGTACGGCACCACAAACTTGGCGTAACTGTTGGTGAGCCAGCTCCTGGAAAACAACATAGAGAACTTTAGGATCATGGTAAAGACGCCACTGAGATGACACTAAAGTTAAATACAGTAAACTATGTTTATAACGAACATGCTTATAACAAACCTGCCGGATATAAAGAACTTTTTTTTGGTTCTGTCCATTTTGTGTATAGATGTTAAAGTTTCTTTTTCCAGTCTTGCTTTACAGTGGTATAAGGATCTATACCAAAACGTTGCCTTTACAGTATTAAAGAAGTCTACTTTGTCATCCATCAACTTCTAATCTAAGTAATGCCTATCAAACAATGTATATATGTTGTACATATGCTTATAACGAACTCTGGTGATAACAAACTAAAATTAGTGGTCCCTTTGAGATAATTATGACAGTAGTTTACTGTATCTCAATTTTCATCTTCCCGAGGCAATAGAGTTAACTGACTATAAAAGTCCAGTTTCCACCCTTGCCGAACTAGGCTGGTATTATGGAGTCTATGCATAGTCCAATCAAAATCTCGCACCGAAATCGAAATCCGGTTCGTAAACCGTCGTGCAGATTTCGGTCGATTGCAGGATTTGCAAAGTATGTGCACCGCCAACTTGTTGTCAGCAGATATTTTCCACATCTTTTCATGTTTTTAATCAAGGTGCTCATGTGATTTGATGCATTTCGCGATGTAAGACCCGTTTTATCACAATAGAGATCTTGATTATCGATCAGATCGTCCTGACTCAGCGCCACCATTTTATGTGAAGCAAAAGCAAGTGATGCAAGAGGTGGAATCTGATTGGTCCATAGGAGAGGCTTAGAAGGGACATAACTGGTAATAGCCACTGGTGGCGCAACGATCGAGCCCAGTAATTCCAGCCTCGTTCGGCAAGGGTGGAAACTGGACTTTTATAGTCAGTTAACTCCCTTGCCTCGGGAAGATGCTCAATTTTCTGGGGGCCTAGATGCAAACAGTACAGCTTGAAGCCTACAGAACCCCTGGAACATGTTCAATTTCTGTCAGTAACACTGCCAAGTGTTTCGAAATTAAGGAATTCATTGGGCATTCTGAACATTCATTTAAAACAAGTTTTGGTTGGTTGGTTGGTTTGTTGTTTAACGCCGCACTCAGCAATATTCCAGCTATATGACGGCGGTCTGTAAATAATCGAGTGTGGACCAGACAATCCAGTGATTAAAGCATGAGCATCGATCCAGGCAATTGGGATCGATGACATGCATGAACCAAGTCAGCGAGTCTGACCACCCGATCCCGTTAGTCGCCTTTTACGACAAGCATAGTCACCTTTTACGGTAAAACTGACACCACTATATATAAGTCACTATGCAAAATTATAGACATTATATACCTAACATGGCTCAAATTGGAGAAATCACTAAAATCTGTTGACTCTGGAAAGTAGAATCCACTCGCCTCTTCTCCGTTACATTATCAATAACAGAAGTAATTTATAATTCCTTGTTTGGGAACTGGTATCATCAATCATCGATGAAATTGAGGTGAGGTGAAATTGGGTTTAACGTCGTGTCAAAGATTATTGCACTTATATAGCGACGTGCATGCACGTGTGTGTGTGTGGCTGCTTGTACTAGTCCGGACTGATGCCGATTTAGAGCTAGCACACTGAGATACCATGCCGCAGTTTAACATGAATACCCAACTCAGACACAGTATACTGACTCCGAGACGACCAGTCCTTGTGTTAGCCCTTTAATGCCGAGTGCCAGATAGGGTAACAACAAGTACCATCTTTTAACGTCTTTTGGTACGACACAGCCGGTGATTGAACCCCGGACCTTCCGCTCTCCGGGCGGGCGGACGCTCTACCACTAGACCACGGAGCCGGTCTTGATGAAATTGAGAAACTGCAACTGCACTACTTACTGATCGTACATGATGTCTGGGCAGGATCTGATGATAATCACTCCAACCACACATGATATGACTGCTTGGATGCTTGAGACACATCTGAAATAAACAAGTTACCCTCAGGGTCCACACACACAAAGCAATCTTAGTGCAAAGATTATCAGCATTCCCATACTTTAGGCTTAGGGTAGTCAGAGTGAAGATCAGAAGTAGGCCCAGGACTCCAACACATCTTCTCTTCCTGGAGCTGAGTGTGAATTGCTTGATAATTGTTATGAGATATTTCTCCACAGAGCTGCATAAATGTATGACTTTAACAACGATTTGAGAAAGCTGAGTAAATTTTGAAGTCGACTTTACCATTGATAACATATACATTTAGAGAATAACCAACAAACTAAAAGGATTTACGGATTGACTTTTGAGTACATTATTCGATATGTTAACAATTATAATTTAAGAAATAGAATTAAAATAGCCCCTAAGAAACTTCACTGAACTCAAACTTTTGTTCTGATGATGTAATCTACTTGTGACATCATAAACAATGATGACATCAATTTGATTGTTATGACCAATGAAAGAGCATGACATCATATTCCTGACCAGTCAACATGGAGAAAATGGCCGTGGCTCTGTGTAAGTGATATGTCAAAATCAAATTACTTATAGAGAGCAGAAAAGAGATACGATTACATGGTCAGGTTCAGGAACTTGAATGATTATTTATGTGTCATTGTACCCCAATGGTTACGGAGGTTGCACATAACTCAATCACTTTTTTGTTTGGTCCAGCCTCGATTTAAGGCCTCTGTTATAAAACTTGGATATTGCTGAGTGTGGCATTTAACAACAAAGAAACAAATGTTTCTGAATAGATGGGTACATTAAAATCATATCCTTTACCAATTTAATGCCTGCTTCAAAGGCAAGTGCATGTTTGGGAACAGGGGGGTAATTTAAAAGTTTAGGCGATATTCCTTAATCTAAACTCAGATGGAACTTGCAGAGGACATAGCAAAACATGACAGTACATAACGCCCCTACGATAATAACAATAGTAACAATAACAATAACAATAATAACAATCTCAGATGAAAATAATAATAATAATAATAATAATAATAATAATATCGTATTCGACGTAATAAGCGCCCCACTCTAATAAGCGTCCACGGCGATTTTTGCTAATATATTGGCTCGTGAACAATCCCAATTTAGCACCCTTTCCGATTGATCAATGTACACAATACTTATTTATTCGCGTATAATACGCACTCGTTATATGCACACTTAATTATGGGAAATTAAATTCGGGAAAAAATATATCTCTCGTATATAAACATTTCAGGCTGTCAGCATAACCCACAAAATCTATCGTTCAACTCTGTTTTTTTCCCCGACAAAATAATATTCTAATAAGAGCCCCCTATTTCTAATTTTGAGAGCGTCCTGGGCGCTTATTACGTCGAATACGGTAATGATAATAATCCTAATCTCAGATGGAACTTGTGAAGGCCGGTGAGGTGAGGTGAGGTGAAATTGGGTTTAACGTCGCGTCCAAGATTATTGCACTTATATAGCGACGTGCATGCACGTGTATGTGTGTGTGGCTGCTTGTACTAGTCCGGACCTGATGCCGATTTATAGTGCTAGCTCACTGAGATACCATGCCGCAGTTTAACATGAATACCCCACTCAGACACAGTATACTGACTCCGAGCCGACCAGTCCTTGTTTTAGCCCCTTAATGCCGAGCGCCAGACAGGGTAACAACAAGTACAATCTTTTAACGTCTTTTTGTATGACGCGGCCCGGGATCGAACCCTGGACCTTCCGCTCTCCGGGCGGACGCTCTACCACTAGACCACGGAGGCGGTCTGTGAAGGCCGGTGCAAAACATGACAGTGCATAACGGTCCGACGACATTAATAGTAAAAATGATGATGATGATGATGATGTGCCTAATGTCAAATAGGTGCAGCCCAGTGTCACGAAAATATGCCCGTAACAACCAATACAGATAATGTCAGAATGTACATGGGCGGAGCACCAGTATCGAGGAGCATCCTGTTCGATTATCTTCCTAGGATACCGAGCTACGATCGCTGATGACAGAGTATGACAACATACCGTAAGCTCAGTTCGAAAATGTCACATACAGACAATCTATGTTTCCATATATGTTGCAAACTTTTCCTCAGTATGTAGTATAACGACGGATAAAACAAGGAACCGGCAACTAGCAAGCACACATCTGCGACCACAGTCGCCATTTGACAACAATATGGTAACCTTCACCTTGAATGACCAATCAATATCGCGCTTACAAATCTGCGGTATTTACGAAATATGGATTCAAGCACCTGCTGGATAAACACGGAAAATGATTTTTGTCTGAGTTTTTTTCAATAGTTTTCATACAAACTTGCAAAACATTTTAAATAAAATTGAGTATATTGATTATGTTGTTTGCGTTCTTTGAATTTGCAAACCATCTGTTCTCTTGGCTGATAGCAGGTCTATATGTTATGTTAGACTAACGCTTAGTCTCTGAAAATATACTGAACAACAAAAGTTCCTGTGACAATGAATAAGATTTAATGCAAAGTTATGTTTTTTAACCAAATCTGAAACAATTTCGGTTTACAACAGATGTAAGTGTTCAAATGGTTTAATGTGCCATACTGAAAATGCGTGATTTCATAAAAAAAACATAAACATGCCAAAATGTCAATTTACAAATCAATAGCGTGTGTGTCCACCTCTGGTTGCGATGCAAGCAACACACCTTCGTCTCATGGAATGCACAAAGTCCTGTGGGATATCTGTCCATATCTGCTGGAGCATGTTTCCTGGAGTGTCTGTGGAACACGTGGTTGACGTCGAAGGCGCCGATCCATCTCATCCCACATGTGCTCGATTGGTGAGAGATCAGGGGAGCGAGCCGGCCAGGCCGAGCGTTGTCTTATTGAAAGGTAATGCCTGGGCCATGACGACGCAAAAATGGTAGAACAACAGGGCCGATGATCTCGTCGCGTTAGCGCTGTCCATTAAGATTTCCCTCTACCACTATCAAACGGGTCCTCTGTCTTGCTGTAATCCCACCCCATACGATAACGCTGCCGCCCCCGAACCGATCTTCTTCCATGACACAATGATTGATGTAACGTTCACCTCGACGTCAGTACACTCGAATCCGTCTATCGCTGTGGCTGAGGTGAAAACGAGACTCGTCAGTGAACAGAACTTGTCACCACTGCATGGCCGCCCAGCGTAGACGCTGTCTGCACCACTGTAGACGTTCTTGACGGTGGTTTCCTGTCAAAATGGGACGTCTGGCGGGTCTTCTGGCGACAATCCCTGCACATCTGAGGCGGCGACGTACGGTTTGTGAAGATATTCGTCGAAGGCCAGGGATACTTCTTGCAGTCACTGTTGCTGGCTGGAATCGATTTCGTAGGTGTGTTGTTCGAATCCATTTGTCTTGTCGATTATTGGTTACGCGTGGCCTGCCACTCCGAGGATGGTCTCTTACTGCATTCGTCTGTTGCCAGCGTTGCCATAAACACCAAATGGTGTTTCTGTGGACGTTAAATTATCTTGCAACATCACGTTGACTCGATCCTGCTTCAAGCATACCAATGGTTCGCAGACGCTCATTTTCGGACAGGCGTGGCATTTCGTAATGTTAAATAATTTTGTTGTTTTTCTGACTGGTTGTTGTCAGCACTATGCTAAACAATGCATATGGAATCCAGTTAACGCACAATATTTTATAGTATTTATACCCATTCTTGGGTAGTGAAATGCATGGGGCTTGCATAAAAGTCAACTTTTGCATGGAATGCATGCTTTTCTGTAGCCAATCATATTAAAATCAGATCTTTGTTCTCGCTTCCGCTAAACAAAGATCTGAGGACATCCCATTACGGGTCACGTCAGGCCGAACTTGAGCGAACTTTGACCGACTAATGGAATGACCAATCAGAAGGCAGCTTTCACGTGCTTTACGGCACAAATTTCAAATTGGCGACTACGCTTCGAAACATATTTTGACAAATTCTCGATTACAAATTTGAAACCTGAAAAAAAATTATTCTGGAATGGCTAATAGATAGTCTTGATTGTAAGCATTCAGTCGTTAAACCCGTAACTATCGTTCGGAATACACTATGTTAAAGCTTTCGAGATTGCATGACTAGAAATCACATTCCGACTGTCACTTTCATAATCTGGTAAGCGACGTACTGATTGGTCGGATGAAAGGTCGTTCTAACGTGACCTCTAATGGGATGTCTTCAGATCTTTGTTTAGCGGTAGCGAGAACTAAGGTCTAATTTTAATGAGATTGTTCCGTAGCAGTTGCGTTTTTGTGACTTGATTCCATACATGTACTACACTATTGAAAACCAAGCTTTACTTGTTTGTAAAATACACTAAAATACTGGTGTCACAGGAACTTTTATTGTTGAGTACATATAATTTTACTAGAAACAAACAACACCATTTAAATTGAAAAGGAGCATCAGTGAGATGGTAGATTAAGAACCTGAGGAAAATATAGACTTGCTGCATTACAGAAAGGGGGCCTATATTATTGATATGCATATTTTTGGTTGAACACGTCAATAAATATTATTCGGCGATTTCACAATGTTTTTCCTTAGTGTTTATCAGCAAAATAACATGTAACACACTCACACACACACAAAATACATGAGGATTTTAGCGAAGCATCACACATTTATGTTACATGACTGATGAATGAACTTCTTACTTTAGGCTGGCGTCAATAGACAATATACACTAGTAGCCATATCTACAGTATATTCTAAAACTATTTAAATTCAGATCTACTGAATGCTTGAGCAGAGGTGATCCAGTCGTTTAAGGCAGCGGAATTCGCTGTGCAGAGTTGCGTCCCTTATGCGTGTCAGGAAACACGTGGGTTCGAATCACGGTTTGACCTGAATAATATGTTTCTAGGTTTGTCAGCACTATACCTGTGTTTGTGGGTTTCACCAAAGGGGTAAATATCTAAGACCCGCTTTCTCCAACATCAAGCTGACACACCGTGATATAACTGGAATAATGTTCAAAGTGGTGTTAACCCCACTCATGCACACACGCACACACGCACACACGCACACTCGCACGCACGCAAGACCCGCACCCCTTCAAGCTTTCCCACCACATCAAGCTGACACACCGTGATATAACTGGAATAATGTCCAAAGTGGTGTTAACCCCACTCATGCACACACGCACACTAGCACGCACGCACGCACGCACGCAAGACTCACTCACTCACTCACTCACTCACCCACCCACCCACCCACCCACCCACTCACTCACTCACTCACTCACTCACTCACTCTCATACATTTTCCAACGGCAATGGTACAACGAGCTGTCGGCCATGACACTACGCCCTCACACACGGAAACATAGCGCCAGTCTACACGAAACTAGAGAATTGCAAACATATTAAGCAACATGTCTATATGACGAGCCCTAATAAAACAGACTGCTGAATAAACTGTTTGGACGCAATATTTATTTATCCACACCACGCAACTGATACCTGCCTTTGTCGGATCTTCCGTCTGCGTCTGTATATACATCACTATACCGGCATGTGTCCGACAGCTCGGGGGATCGATTTCCACGGCATGATTGCATCTTGTCGTTTTCCCTGGTATATTTCACAGTCGCTATGTTTACCTGAGTACTTCAGTCTGGGCTAACATAGCTGATTTCGTTCCCTTTTACGGGCACATTTCGCTCACGCTTGAACTATTTCGCTGTTATTATAATATCTTTACATTTCTATGGCTTCGCATGTAGAAACAAACTTCTACCCCTCTAATAATGTTGCAATCATTTTCATACAAACATGCCATATTTATTACAGGTGACACGCGGTGGTGTTAACGCCACATGTCTCTGTTATATCACGGCGTGGCAGCTTATTGTGGAAGGACAGCCTCACAACTCACATGCAGGGTTTGGAGCTGACAAACCAAAATCATTATCAGGGCGACTTTTGGATTCAAACCACGATCATAGGATACGTGCACGTTCAAGGGGCGTAACTCTGCATAGCAAATTGCGGTGTCTCAGATGATTGCCTTACACTTATCCCCTCTATTTCAATGAGCAACACCAGCAAGCATCGACACAGGTCGCCGGGTACTATGCCTTACCAGATGTTTCAGCTTACAGGTGAGTCACATCCCAGATGGTGGTACACGACCGTATTTGCCATCGAATACTCAATATATACCATAGAATGCGCTTACGTACCCTAGCTACCTGATTGTCAGGTCCATACTCGATTATTTACAGACCGCCGTCAGATAGCTGGAATATTGCTGATTGCGGCATTAAACAACAAACAAAACACTCGCTACCAACTTCAATGACAAGCGTGGGTTAATTTGAAAATGTTCTACTACAGATACATCCGGTGGATATTCTGAGGCAGAGTAGACTTCACGTATAGTTTTGCTTGTTGCAAATTAGGTTTAACATGACTACCCCACTCAGACACAGCATACTGACTCCGAGCCGACCAGTCCTTGTTTTAGCCCCTTAATGCCAAGCGCCACGTAGGGTAACAACAAGTACCATCTTTTAACGTCTTTTGGTATGACGCGGCCGGGGATCAAACCCCGGACCTTCCGCTCCCCGGGATCTCCAATGTGTGATCTGGTTAATTGTGTTTGATTGTAAGAATGTGTGACATGGTTGATTGTGTGTCATTGTACCCTGCTGGAATTGATCGTTCCATTAATGAAATCAAAATCTGGTCCTCTCGGTGAGATCTGTTTTATCCTCTGGGTTTAACCTGACGATTGATAGGCTGCTCTGATACACATGTTTGTCCTCTAGATAAGACCTGACTATTGATAGGCTGCTGTGATATACACATGTTTGTCCTCTGGGTTAGACCTTACTATTGATAGACTGCTGTGATACGCATGTTTGTCCTCTGGGTTAGACCTGACTATTGATAGACTGCTGTGATACGCATGTTTGTCCTCTGGGTAAGACCTGACTATTGATAGGCTGTGGTGATAAACCTGTTTGTCCTCTGGGTTAGACCTGACATTATAGACTGCTGTGATACACCTGTTTGTCCTCTGGGTTAGACCTGACTATTGATAGGCTGCTGTGATACACCGGTTTGTCCTCTGGGTTAGACCTTACTATTGATAGACTGCTGTGATACGCATGTTTGTCCTCTGGGTAAGACCTGACTATTGATAGGCTGTGGTGATACA